ATTTAGACCCGCTAGTTATTGCCCATGCACAGTTTGTGTCCCTTCTTTCGCCTCCTGTTCATATTGCTAACATGCCTGCTTTTGCCACCTCCACTGGCAGTGCATTCCAGGCATCCACCACCGTCTGGGTGAAAAATGTTCCCCGCACTTCTCCCCTAACTTTCCCCATGTTACCTTGAACCTGTGCCGTCTTGTAGTTCACTTTTCCACCCAGGAAAACAGCCTGTGACTATCCACACACATACCGTTCTGAGGAAGGGTCACCGGACCCGAAACGTTAACTCTGTTTTTTCCTTCACAGGTACTGCCAGACCTGCTGAGCTTTTCCAGCAACTTGTTTTTGTTCCTGTGACTATCCACCTTATCTATGCCTCTCATAATTTTGTCGACCTCTATCAGGTCACCTCTCAACCCATGTCTTTAAATTGAAAACAATCCAAGTTTATCCAACCTGTCCCCATAACTGAAACCCTGCAGACTAGGCAACGTCCTGGTAAACCTTCAGTGCACATTCTCCAAAGCTGGTAGTGTGGTGACCAGAACTTCTCACAATATTCCCATTGGCCAGGCCAGCTGGAGAATCCTTCTGTTCTCTCCAATAATGTGGACAGATCTTGGTGAGAGTTTTTCTGAGAATATAGATAAAGCGTCTATTTAATATCTCACTAAAAACCACTCCTCACTACTGCACTGACATCACCCATAGATGATGTGGGTCTACCTACAGAACATGGACTGCAGCAGTTCAAGAAGGCAACTCACCACATCACCCTCTCGAGGTCAGTTAGGGATGGGCAATAAAATGCTGACCCGGCCAGTGATGTCCAGATCCATGGTTTGACTAGAGGACGTGGCAGATGTAGGTATGTTTAGAACATTTAAAAGACATTTGGACAGGTACATGAATAGGAAAGGCTTAAAGGGATTTGGCCCAAACACAGGCAAGTGAAACTAGTTTAATTTGGGAAACTTGGTCAGCATAGATGAATTGGGCTGAAAGGTCTGTTTCCGTGCTGTATGACTCTGTAACCTTCTCAGTCAGAAGCAAGATTGCAGGCCATTGAACATAGAAATAAGAATTAAGACCCGGATGGACCATTTGGCCCATCAAACCTGCTCTATCAGTCAGTAACTGGTAGATGTTCTTTTATTTCAGCTACACCCTCCCATAATAACCCTATGCCTTTTCATTCTTTCAGGATACAAAAGTTAACTGCTGTCCATTTTGAATTAACTTTGACTGAGCTTCCCCAACTGAATTCCAAGATTTCAAACCTTTTAGTGAAGAGAGCGTTCCTCATCTCAGTCCTGAAGTGTCGACAACTTATTAGAACATAGAACATGGAACAGTACAACACAGGAATGGGCCCTTCAGCCCACAGTGTTGTGCCAAACATGACACCAAATTAAACTAATCCCTTATGCCTGCCCTTGGTCCATATCCCTCCAATCCTTGCAATTCAAGTGCTTATCTAAAAGTCTCTTAAATGTCTCTATCGTATCTGCCTCCACTACTGCTCTCTGTGTTTAAAAAAAAACTTGCCCCTGACATCATCTTTGGACTTCCCCCTCTTGCCTTATTCTGGTACTATAACCTCAGTCCTAGACTCCCTGCCCGAGAAAGCTGCCCGGCATCTACCTCGTCAAGGCTCTTAAACATTGCATTTGTGTTACAATCTCTTTTCAAAATAAATTTACGTTTCCAGTTAATTCCCGAGAAGGATAACGCAGCAAGATTTCTCATTTTGAAACATTTACTGTTTTTAAAAAAGAGTGACTAAAAAGAAATTGACTAACGGTTTTGTATTTTCGTATGAGAAACTATCAAAAGAACCGTTCTTTTCGTACTCAAAGGTCATGCTGTCCATGGAGGTGCACTCCTTACAAGCAATCCACAGACTCCAGTGAGTTGATATTATCCCCATCTTCACCAAGTAATAACTTCACATGCCTACCACTGGGTGTTCCACATGCTTTTCAGAAAGTTTCGTAAATCTACTTAGGGAAGGCAATGGCCTGGTGGTATTATTGCTAGACTATTAATCCAGAGACCCAGGTAATATTCTGAGGACGTGTGGTCAAATCCCACTATGGCAGATGGCAGAATTTGAATTCAGTGAAAAATCTGGAAGTAAGAGTCTAATGATGATCATGAAACCATTGTCGATTGTTGGTTCACTAATATCCTTCGGGGAAGGAAACTGTCGTCCTCGCCTGGTCTGGCCTATTTGTGATTCCAGTCCCACAGGATTGTGGTTGACTCTTAACTGCCCTCTGGGCAGTTGGGAAATGCAATAAATTCTGGTCCAGCCAGCGGCACCCACACCCATGGACAAATGAGATGAAAAATCTGTCCAAGTGCTTCTTCCTCATCTCTGGCTATATCAGAACTAATTTCTCAGAACCCTTAGATTGCTGTGAGAATGTTACTACTTCTATTCTACATTCAGATGTGATAGTTTACAAAGCCGTGCAGTCTCTTCTGTCTGCACTCCATGCAATAACTTCTGCCTGTCTGTCGCACGTACTGATTTGTAGGGAGCATGTAACCTGATCTCAAAAATGGTTTTCATTATCCCCCTCTTCACAGCCACATGATACACATTAGTCTTGCCTCCAGGTTGTTCTGCCATTGTGTTATTGTTGACCCTAATGTGCTTTCATCTTCAAACTAAGTGGATTGTTCAGACACAACGCTGGGATTTTGGAGGATTGAGTCTGCACTGGTAGCGCACAGGCTTCTGTTGTCGTCTCTTATGTGCAAGTCCCTCTCACCTTCTCCTCAGTAAAACAGCCTAAGCCTTCTTTTAATTTCTAATAATCAACCCATCCTGGTTTACTATCTGTCAAACTGAAATTGAAAAATGTGTCCCAAAACATTATCTTATTACACTGATGATTGTAGCACATTTTTCAACGGGAACATGTCATTTTCTTCTGGATTCTGGAGAGCATGGAAAACAATACAGGTGTTGAGAATCTAAGATAAACTGGGAAAAAAAGGACAGAAAATGCTGTAAATGCTCAATGGCATCTGCGGAGAAAGAGAATCAGAGTTAATGTTTTAGTTCAGTATTTCTCAATTTCTCACTGTAATCTCCCTACATTCCGGGAATCGGTGCAATCTTTCTAAAGCAAATATATCCTCACAATAGGAGTTCAACATCTCTCACGGCATTCCATCTATGGTATTCCCAAAGCACTATACAATTGTAGTAAAATTATTTTACTTTTGTACTCTAATGAATGAGCAGCCTTAATGTCTGGGAAGAATACAGCAACTCTTTACAGGGACACTTCCCTTCCTAACTGTTAGCCTTCTGTGATTCGTGAACACAACTATTCAGGTCCCTTGAATGCTGACATTGCCTACTCCCACACCATTTTAAACAAAAATTCTGCTTTTCCTATCAAAAGTACAAAACTTCACAGTTCCTTGCATTGTATTTCATCTGTCACATTTTCATTGATACTTGTAATCCCACAATATCCTTTTTTTTTGCAGCCACCTTACAACTTAGTTTACCAAGCAAACAGAATGCTGGAGAAACACAAGTGATCTGACAGCATATGTGCAGGGAAAGAGTTACTGTTTCAAGTCTGGTTATTACACTTCTTTGGAATTGAAAGATGTTGAATATTGCTGTTTTCTAAAATTATACTTTTGACAGAGACAGAGGAGGAGCAAGAGGGCAGACGGTATAGAGGTCTAGCAAAAGAGCAATTATTTAGCGTGGCACGGTGGCTCAGTGACTAGTACCGCCACCTCACAATGCCAAGGACCCAGGTTCGATTCCACCCTCATGCGCCTGTGTGGGTTTCCTCTGGGTGCTCCAGTTTCCTTTCTCAGTTCAAAGATGTGCAGGTTAGGTAGAGTGGCCATGCTAAATTGTCCGTAGTATCCAGGGATGTGCAGGTTGGGTTGATTCACCCTGGGAAATGCAGGGACAGGGTAGGGGGATGAGTCTGGGTGGGATGCTGTTTGGAGGGGTGATGTGGATTTGATGGACCTAATGGCCTGCTTCCACAGTGTAGTGATCTGTGATTCTATGAAAAGACTCCAGAGTTGATTTGCTAATGGTGGAAAATAAAGAGATCTAAAATGGGTGTAAGTGAATGTGTGAAATGGAGAGAATGTGTCCTATCTACTGAGTGCAAAGTAAACAAGGTGAGGGAAGTAGGAGGAAAGAACAATCCAGAACAGACATAATGCAATCAGTTTCTGAAGTTAAGCAGTTCAATACTGAGACCTCAAGGCTTTGCAATGCTGAAGAGGAAAATGAGGTAATGTTCCTCAAGCTTGTGTTGTACTTCTTTGGAGACAAACCCAGCTGTGGTTCACCTGTCAAGGTGAGGACTTCGAGCGTGATCCAGATCCCAAGGCCAAATAAAGAAAAATGGTAACAGAAATATCATAGATCACAGTGTGTAAGACAACTTTTTTTGTGACACCAAAATGCATGCTTGGGATAATGAACAGTCTGTAAGTCCATCCCCAAATTCAGCCAAAGCATCTTTGGTGTTATACGTACATTGGGAGTTGACTTTCAGATTTTCGGCTCATAAATTCCTGTTTAGGGTTATTTTTGACTTATAAGCCAGTGCATGGGATCAAGCACTGCAATACAAGCCCTGTTTCCAGAAAGATGTGATGACGTTTAAGGCACGTCCCACAATGCGGAATGCTAATGATGACTGATAATCAGAAGTGTAACCTCCTGCATCAACATCTGATGGACCACAATTTATATTTTGTGCATCAGTCGACACCTGCTCATTTTTGGAAGGATCTTTTTGAAGGTTCCAAGGTTTCCCTCTATGCTAAGATCTACAGTTGCCTTCTGAGGTAAAAGGACCAGAAACTGCAGTGCAACCAAATAAGCAGCTCGTAATGTCACTCACTGCTGGTAAAAAGGGGCAGAATGTGAAGATCTGGATTCTAATACGTGTCCCACCTCTGATTCTTCCAGCTAATTATTTATGTACCTTTCTCTTTACAGGGGACGAAGTTATGGATCATCATGGAATATTTGGGAGGTGGTTCAGCCTTGGATTTGGTAAGTAATTTATTAATTACTTATTAATTATATTCATTATAATTTATTAATTTTTCCATTGATCGTCACGGAAGGTCTGTATTGGAAGTCTCAATGGATCTGATTAAAGCTACACTGCATTTGGAGATAAGGGAGAATGGTACTAGAGGAGCTTCTCATTTGGAGATTCAAGATCAATGGGCTGAAAGGTCTCCTTCTGTACGTAACAGTGCAGTAGCTTAGTTATCTCTGGCTCTCTGGCACCCTGGCCACATGCTAATTTGCTCATGGTTTCTTTCCACATAATCAGTGCCCTCATTAAATCTGGGGGTTGCAAAATCATGGAATGTTTCGAAACTTGGAGAATGTTGATTATCTCAAAGAGTGTAGATTGTCTGACTTGATTCAGAATTTTATTTTAGCTGCTATGTTTTTTATTGCTGAGTATGACTCAAGTAAAAGTGCCCTGTATTGACTTACCAACACTAGTTGGACCATGTTCCTGCAGGATTTATCACATGACCACCTATGATCCCTCCTCCTTTGAGCTGCCAACATGGATGTTCAATTTATCGATCATCCAATAATGGAGGCTTTATTGCCCACAATCCACTGCATTCCAGAACCAACTCTATCCAGCACATGGTGTGGGTTCTAGCACCCAATTGTGCACCCTGGCATTGCAGCAGCCCCTGAAATTTGAGTATCCTATTAGAGTGAAACAGAGTGGAATGTCCTGTTGATTTTCCTACTTGTTTACACACAGCAGTGTCTGATAGCTAAATCCTTAGTTGATTTGGTCACACTCCAGAACAGTCTAGGAGGCTATGCAACCTAAGAGTCTTTGCATAAGATCAGGACAAATAAGCAGCTTGTGTTTAAGGTGACAACCTAGGGTTTGTTACACATTGGAAGTCAGAATAGATTGCACATTGCTTCCCCAATACTGAAACACAGTCTCCACGCACTCTGGTATCAGTTCTGATGAATAGTTTGTGCTCCTTCCATTTTATTTCATGCCTGGTTAATGTTGAGAGTCTTCTGTTAGTGATCATGATCTGACCACCTCTTGTCTTTAGCACATGATGGTTCCATGTTTCATTTTGCTCTGCAGGATTATGAACATGACAGAAAGTGTGTTTTTCATAATCTCAGGCCCTTCTGCAGCCTTTACATCTATCCAAATGGTCCTGAAGTTTAGTCACTATAGTAATTGAATCCCAACGGTCAATGTTACACACAGCAAGGTGCCACAATGCGATGACAACTTGATAATCTGTTGAGTTGGCTGAGAGGCAAACATTAGGCAGGACACAGGGAGTATCTCCTTTGTTCATTTGTGAAAATGTTGCTATACAGTCTATTACATCCATGCAGGGCCTCAGTTTAACCTTGCATCCAAAAGGCAGCACCTGTGACAGTGCTGTAGCCCTTTAGTGCTGCACTGGGGCATCACTCCTGATTTTGGGCTCAGGCCTCAGGAAAGGGAGAGAGCATCATTGAGGGATGACTCCAGGAAGAGATTTTCCACTGTTGAGAGAAGGTTCGGATTGCTGCGTTGAGGGAACTGTTTATCGTTCATCCTCCATACATTCTGTCCTATCACCAACTCATTGGCAGCAAGCTGGAGCTTGATGGTTGAATGTGTTCTACATGAATGGAAATTGTTGCTGTCATGAATATCTCCTTTGAAGTCAATGGTAGCAGTTTATCTCCCTTTCATCCCTCCTGTTGTTCAGCCTCAGTTTTTGATGGATACATGCAGGACTCAATGGTGTTCTGGACATTGTCCTATTGTAGAGCACTTTTTACATTGTAAATGTGAGGAGTCTATAGGCTGGCATTTCCTAGCTTTCAGGAGGAACCAGGACCCCACTGATTGATCCCTCACATAAATCTGTGAATGTAGAATGACGCACAAAGCGACATTATCACACGGTAAACCTCCAACTCACTGTGAGCAGCACAGCACAGATCGTAGCTTTTTACTTAAACAGTGAGAAGTGAAACTATCAGCTGGGAGTGGCTAGATGATGTGATAGAGCCTGTTCCTGTGAGGAAGATGAATTCAAGTGTAACACATAGGTTTGTTTAAGTACACTCAGTGATGATTGTGTTTACACTGCTATCAGTGTTTCATCAGTTTCCCCAGACCTCAATGAATCCCATCTAACAGACAGGAGCGATAACCTGTCTGATTTAATGGTTCGTTTTCATTCTTTGTAGCTGTTAAATGGAGAGTGTGAAAGAGGGTTGCTGATGGCGAAGTGAAAAAGAGGAACGAATGGTGAGACACCCTTTTAATTAACGGCGGTGTCCACTATATCAGGTGAAGAATTGTAAACTCTGAAGATATGAAACATGATTATCTCAATGCTCGTTTACCTTTGACCCTGTCTAGCTTGCCGTTATGCAGAAGGCTTTGTATGTCATCCGCCAACTTGTGGTTTCTTTAGTTATTGTGCAGTGGGCTGTGCTGGATTTATGTTGACAGTGACAGCAGCTTTTCTGTTCTGTGTTGAAACCTGGCTTCACCACAAAGTCCTGTTTGGTCACACTCTTGACTGCTCATTCAACAATGATAACAAGCTCAAAGGAAAAGCTACCTGACACTTCCTGCCCTATTTCGGCCATTTGAGCTGTGCCTCCTGTTCAGCTTTTTAAACTGAAACTGTTAGTCATTCTTCCTCTTTTTGCCTATTTGCGATTGAGTATTGGAATTGACATGAGTACAGACAGCTGCATGAAGACAAAATTGTCTGACATTTCGTGGAACGCCAAGGCAGTGGAAGCCACTATAAACGTGGAGATTGTGTGTTCATGCACATTATCATTTACTTTGTTGGTGTTAACTGTACGACGCCCCAAGGTTTCTCCCCTTATAATTTGCAGGTCTCCGCACAACAGCAGAGCATTCAGATGTCTGCCAAAAAGAGAAGACCTTGGGTTATTCCCTAACATGAAACAAAGAACTGCAGAAACAAAAACACCATTTGCCGGAAAAACTTAGCAGTTCTGTCAATGTCTGTGGAGAGAGAAAGCAAAGTTAACGATTTGGGTCCCATGACCCTTCATCTGTTCAGACTCTACCTTCTCTCCACAGATGATACTGAGTTTCTCCAGCAATTTATCTTTTGCTTTGGTTTAATCCCTCTCCAGTACGTGTAACCCTGTTTAGGAGTGAAATCTTTTGAACCAGGAATAAGCCCCTCCAAGGAGTATAGGTGCAGTCTTGCAGCAGTGCATCATCACTGTGAGGAAATTAGACCTCTTGCAATGCAGGGTGGTGACACATTTTAATTTACAGAGCAAATGGTCATTGTTAACCCTCTGAAACAACTTCAGGTTGCAGGTAGTGGCAGGAGCGCAGTTGATTTTGGTGTTCTGTGCAATTTGTTGCTCACTTGAACTGTCACAGGTCAAGTTTCAGACACCATCCAGAGAATGGCTGGAGAGGACCTCACTCCTATTTCCTTCTCAGCATCAAGTAAACATTGTTTTCCATTGCTCTGTAACACTGCTGCATTCGAATTAATTTGGGGCATTGTATATGTTCTGGTCTGTTTTGTGGTCACAGGAACTGAGGAAATGGCATGACCTGTTTCTAATGCATTGTGTAAATGATTGTACAGAAAGATGTTCAGTAATAAATGGAACCGTTGTGGTACTGCTGTTTAAAAGCTGCTCCGTGTTTTACTGGCTGTTTGAGGGTGACTGCAGGTTTGCCCCAGGGAAGGTAATTGGTGTCAGCTCTCTCTCTCAGCAGTGCTGCGGTGCATTCCTAGCGTGCTGTGGTCTTTCAGTTGCCTGTAGAGCTGAGTTTGAAATGTAAGGGGAGCATCAGTGACTGTTTGAGCTGCTGAGTTAATTCTTTCTTACTATGCAGTGCTCAGTCCTTTGCTTGATTTACCGATGTGATTGAGAACTTCCAAGCTAGAATCTTTGCACACCCTCTAGCAGTGAGTTAGAATAGTGAAGCAATTGGACCAAATCACCCATAGTATTGGAACAAACTGGCACATGATGCTGAACCATCGAGTAAATTTTCTACTGAGAGATTCAAAATTATCTGTTTAATTTTATACCACTTTCCGTTCCAATGTAGAAATTATGGGTGAATTATGCTTCAACATTTGCTGCTGATTTAAATGAGACTGTATCTGCGAATGCATTCCACTGCCAGTGCATTGAATTTAGTGGTATTAACTACTTAAGGTGCTCCTAATCATTTTTTCCAAGTGGACTGTAGGATCTAGAACTGAAGACTGAGAGTTTTATGGATAACTTGTTTCTTGACGCGGTTATTCTGCAGCTTAGTGATGTGCCGGCAGAGGGAGAATGGATGCTGACCAGGACAGGCAGTTAGTGCAGGAATCCCCCAAGTATTGATGACTGTCCAACCTGTATTCAGTTCCTAATACTGCTGACCGCAATGATTCCTCAGAGCTCGGTTGTACAGGAGGGTGGATGCAGCAGCAAGATTGGATAGGCACCAGTCTCCGGAGATTCAGTAGCTAAATGGGTGTTTATGTGCTGCAGACCTGTGTCCAGGATGCTGTATTAACTCCTGATCCTTGTGTGAGGACATCACGGAGTGGCTGCAGAACTCTCGAAGAGAGAAGTGCGATTAGCCAGAGATTGTGGTCTGTATCACTATCAATAATATGGACAGAAAGTGGGATGAGGTGTTGCAGGCAGGTTTAAGGGACCCTGGGCGTCATATTCCCCATGCCATGTGTAAGTATGTATAGAAGGATGTTGCCGGGACTGGAGGATTTGAGTTATAAGGAGAAGCTGGTAGTTTCTCCCTGGAGTGTTAGAAGCTGAGGGGTGACCTCATAGGTGTTTATAAAATCCTAAGAGGCAGCAATAAGGTGAATAGCCAAAGTCTTTTCCCAGGTCAGGGGAGTCCAAAATTAGAGGGCATAGGTTTAAGGTGAGAGGGGAAAGATATAAAAGGGATTTGAGGGGCAACATTTTCACACAGCTGTTGGTGGATATATGGAACGAGCTGCCAGAGGAAATGGTAGAGGCAATTACAACATTTAAAAGGTCAGAAATCACATGACACCAAGTTATAGTTCAACAGGTTTATTTGAAAACACAAGCTTTCGGAGCCTCACTCATCCTCCAGTTGTTCGTGAGAGAGGTAGCATCAGACACAGAACTTCTAAGCAAAAGATCAAAGGGTTATAGAACTGATGAGGATGAATTGAGCAAACCTAATTTGCTGTTAAATCTTTAATCAGTTTGAAGGTTTTAATTGATTAACATGTATATGTAAATCCCCAGATTTTTTTCAAGTCACTGCCCTGAGAGAACCCTAAAGGTTTTAAACAACATTTTAGGTCGGACAATGCATGTTAGGTATGAGGCCTTGTTTAGATACATTCTACTTTGTTCAAAAAGCACACAATTTATAGACAGTCAGTCAATGTGGTGTTTTATAAATTCCTAATTTAGAAATAAAATCTGTCTGACTCCCATCCAAAACACAGATTCTAAACAAGACCTCACACCAACAATAGAAATAACTAAAGGTTGAACGGTAACGTAACTTGTGTACACAAGTGTGCTAACTTTGGACAGCTGTTTGCATGGCCACATTGAAGCCAGTAAATCCTTGAAATTCTCTTTCCCCAGAAAGTGAGGAGGTTAGATTATTACACTTATTTGTGGCTAAATTAGATTTTGATAGACAAGAGAATCAAGAGTGATGGGGTCCGACAGGCAATTGGAGTTGGAGCAACAAGCAGATCAGCCATGATCTTACTGAATGGTGGAACAGGTTTGAAGGTCAGAATGGCCTATCCTGCTCTTAAGTGCTACGTTGACGTACGTTTGTTGTGCAAGGTGTGACAGTGATGGTGGGAGAGGATATTTCTAGATCTCTGTGGTCCATTTCCAGTCATGAGATTTTTTTGGTGGCTAAGATTTCTTGGTAGTGTGGATGAGCAGAAAGATCTCGGTGTCCATGTGCATAGATCACTGAAAGTTGCCACCCAGGTTGATAGCGTTGTTAAGAAGGCGTACAGTATGCTAGGTTTTATTGGTAGAGGGATTGAGTTTCGGAGCCATGAGGTCATGTTGCAGCAGTACAAAACTCTGGTGCGGCCGCACTTGGAGTATTGCGTACAGTTCTGGTCACCGCATTATAGGAAGGATGTGGAAGCATTGGAAAGGGTGCAGAGGAGATTTACCAGGATGTTGCCTGGTATGGATGGAAGGTCTTATGAGGAAAGGCTGAGGGTCTTGAGGCTGTTTTCGTTAGAGAGAAGAAGGTTAAGAGGTGACTTGATAGAGACATACAAGATGATCAGAGGATTAGATAGGGTGGACAGTGGGAGCCTTTTTCCTCGGATGGTGATGGCTAGCACGAGGGGACATAGCTTTAAATTGAGGGGTGATAGATATAGGACAGATGTCAGAGGTAGGTTCTTTACTCAGAGAGTAGTAAGGGCGTGGAATGCCCTGCCTGCAAAAATAGTAGACTCGCCCACTTTAAGGGCATTTAAATGGTCATTGGATAAACATATGGATGATAATGGAATAGTTTAGGTTAGATGGGCTTCAGATTGGTTTCACACGTCGGCGCAACATCGAGGGCCGAAGGGCCTGTACTGCGCTGTAATGTTCTATGTTCTATGTTCTATGTTCTAATCTGTTAAGCTAATTAACATGTGCCCTTCTCAGCTTTGTGTGAGCTTGGCTCCCATCTCCCACTGTACATACACTTTCTTGAGCCCTGTACAATCTTTTGTGAAGACCATCCCATCTGGTCTGCTGGGATTCCTCCAGTCGATGTTTCCACATTTGCCTCTGAATATTGTAAAGGATTCTAACCCTTTGACGGTGAGATTTAGATAGATCTGCATATTTAAGTCTTTTAGAGGGTAGGATTAAATTATTCAACAAGTTGCTGGTTTGTAATGAGTGTTTCTCTTTCAGCTCCAAGCTGGGCCCTTCGATGAATTCCAAATTGCAACCATGCTGAAGGAAATCCTCAAAGGCTTAGATTACCTGCACTCCGAGAAAAAGATACACAGGGACATTAAAGGTAACACTGGGCTCAGTCAGCTCTTGGTCCTATGTAATGCTCTGTGAAAGGTTTCTCACCCTTCTGTATGTCTTCTTTTGCTCATCCAGCTGCCAACGTCTTATTATCGGAGCAAGGTGACGTGAAGTTGGCAGATTTTGGTGTGGCTGGTCAGCTGACTGACACGCAGATTAAACGAGACACTTTTGTCGGTACTCCTTTCTGGATGGCACCAGAGGTCATTCAACAATCTGCTTATGACTCCAAGGTAATTGTGGTACAACAGCTCAACACCCCTAAATCAACAAACCCCTTGAATCTGTTCTGGCAATTCAAAGCTGAATCCTGCTTTCTGCATTTCTTGAGTTGCCCTTCTCTCCAAATATTGAACCATTTTATCATTGTACATTGCCAAATTCTGTTCACACCTCCGCCCTCCAAACTGTGCTCATCGATCCACATTGAATTCAACAACTAATTTGTTTTAACATCCCCGTCTTTTTTTTCAAATCCATTAATAGTCTGGCCCGTCCCTCAATAATGCTGTCCAGCCCCACAATCCTCCAACATCTCTGCAGTTCTTCAGTTCTGGCCTCTTGACTATCCCTGACTATTGCTGCTTCACCACTGATGGCTGTGCCTTGAACTGCCAAGGCTCCAGGCTCTGGAAGTCCTTCCCCAAGCCTTGTTTCCTGTCTAGCTTATCCTCCTATTTTGAGGGGTTTTTTGTTTAACAGCTAAATCATTCACCTTTCCTAATGTCTCCTGATGTTATTCAGCATCACATTCTTTTAATGATATTTCTGTAGTGCATCTTGGAATGGTTTACTATTGTCAAAAGAAAGCACTGCTTGAGTACAATGGCCATTACAGGCTCTTCACCAATCACTTATTGTAGAAAAGCATTTCATGTCTTGAGAATCATTGGCAAAATAGAATTTCTCTGAATCTCTCTTTCTCTGAGTCGCAATTTTGGAAAATGACCTCTCGCCACTGATTCCCAAGCCGTTGGAAGTCATCTGACCTTTGTTCATTTTAAAATCTCCAAACCCCAACCTCCACCATCTTCTGTTCTTGGAGTGATTAGATACAAAAGGCCATTTCAGGACAAGTACCCATTGATTTCGCCCAGAAACTAATAACTCTAAATGAATGAATGAACTTGTCAATACAACCTCAGGGAGTCCTAAGTTGATTTATGAACAATTATGTTGTCTTGAAGCACAAGTCTCTGTTGTAATACAGTAGTTGATTGCACAGCAAGATTCCACAAAGATTAGTGAAATGAACAGCTTATTTTTCTGGTGGTGATATTAATTGAGGAATAAGGAATTCGAACATTATCAGATTACTGATTGTGAAATTTCTATGCTCTCAAAAGAAAGAATTAATACAGCACAGAAGGAGGTCACTTGGCCCATTCGGTTCAGACAAGCTCTTTGGAACAGCCATGTTCCACTCCTCAGCCTTTTCTCTTCTTCCTTCTAATTTAGTTTCCAGCCCAAAGGCAGGTCTGACCCATAGTGCCATGGCCTTCACCATGGGCAGGATAAGAAGGCAGACCTCAAATCCACCAAAGCCAGAATGGGGATTGAACCCCTCGGAGTTGTTTCCGAACTGATCCACAACAGTCTTCCGACCAACTGAGCTGACACGCCCACTAAGGAGTCCGAGTTGCCGTGGCAACATAGACTTCCACGTGCATGTTGTACTTTGGAGCTATGCACATTGGTGACAAAGGCTTCAATTTCTTTCCATCATGTAGCTAACCAGGAATCTCTTCCATTCTCGCCACCTGCCATTGTGTGTGCATGTGTGTTTGTGTCAAAAAGATTTGCAAGGCGATGCTCAACCTAGTATAAAAACCAAGTTGTGTGGGTATCTGAAATTAAAACAGAAAGTACTGGAGAAACTCAGTAGGTCTGACAGCATCTGTGGAGGGAGAAACAGAGTTAATGTTTCAAGTGCAGTACGACGGATCTTCAGAAGTTTCTCCAGCACTTTCGATCTTCTATTCGATTGTTAACCTGTTTGGCAGGGTTATGAAAGCACCCTCAGTGACTTCAAAAGTTCTTAATTGGTTGTAGCAAGTTCCTGGGATTCCAATTAATATCAGCTCTCCTTCTTCTGTCTCTATCTTTCACGTGTTTCCCTTTTCTGTCATTCTTGCGCTGTCTATTTCTCTCGGTGGCACGCTCTGCCTTTCATTCACCCCTCCTTTTTCTCTCCATGCATTAGGGTTAGGCTAGCATGATCTCTGCATACCTCTATCATTACATTGAGCCACAGTATTGCAGTGTCCTTATGTTAAGTTGTAATTGCTCAGCATATCAATATCTCTCTTCCCTTTTCGCAGGCAGACATCTGGTCATTGGGAATCACAGCCATTGAACTGGCCAAGGGTGAGCCACCCAACTCAGACATGCATCCAATGAGGGTCCTGTTTCTTATACCCAAAAACAACCCGCCAACTCTCAGTGGAGAGTTCAGCAAGTCCTTTAAGGAATTTGTAGACGCCTGTTTGAATAAGGACCCTTCCTTTGTAAGTATCTAAGTCAATGCTTCTCTCTCAAGATTCCCTGGGCACCCCTAAAGGATTCTGTGCATTTTTCATGTCGAGCTGAACATTATACTGGATTTTTCAACATTTGTTTTTCTTACATTGAACGTGTGCACTTTGCACACTGGATGCACCGTAACAATTCTGTGATGTTTGCAGTGGGAGAAGAGGGGGGAGAGGGTGTTGGAATTCCATGATATATTCTGGGGATCCAAAGAAAGGTTGGAAACTACTGATCTGAGGGCCTGGATTCACGATTGAGTGCTGCATTCCTGCAATGCCACAACTCTCTTTGGAGAAATACTGCCATTCCTGACAGACCTGTATCCTTTATGCTGACGGCTATGTCTTGTGGATTTTGGCTGTTGCCTGGCTTAAAACTATATAAAACAGAAGATTTAAAACCTGATTCTCACAGTGCCCTCAGAGCTGAGACTTTGTATTCTTTGCAACAGTGCAAACAATATAGGCATAATAGTGTCCAGAATGAATGCTTGCGCTTACACTTAGCTTCGTGAGCTTCGTGCATAGACAGATTTTTTTTCTGAGGGGCTGCTTCACACAAAGCCATCAGACTCTTAGTATGGGTCCTCGGTAGTGTTAGGCTCTGTCAGTACACATTCCTAGGAAGCAGAATCTGTTTAACCATCAATCTCTGTTTCCATATTTGTTCAGCGTCCAACAGCCAAGGAGCTGCTCAAACATAAGTTCATCATTAAAAACTGCAAGAAGACCTCATATTTAACAGAATTAATTGACGGGTACAAGAGGTGGAAAGCAGAAGAACACAGTGATGATGACTCCAGTTCAGACGAGTCAGATTCGTAAGTGCTTTTCACACATCATAGAGTCATAGAGATGTACTGCACGGAAACAGACCCTCGGATCCAACTTGCCCATGCCAACCAGATATCCCAAATTAACCTAGTCCCAGTTACCAGCATTTGGCCCATATCCTTCTAAACCCTTCCTACTCATGTACTCATCCAGATGCCTTTTAAATGTTGTAACTGTACCAGCCTCCTCTGGCAGCTCATTCCATACACTCACCACCTTCTGTGTGAAAAAGTTGCCCCTTAGGTTCCTTCTAAGTCTTTCCCCTGTCATTTTAAACCTTTGCCCTCTAGTTTTGGACTCCCCTACCCTGGGAAAAAGACCTTGGCTATTCACCCTATCCATGCCCCTCATGATTTTATAAACCTCTATAAGGTCACCCCCCCCCCCAGCCTCCGATGCTGCAGGGAAAATAGTTCCAGCCTATTTCAGCCTCTCCCTGTAACTCAAATCCTCCAATCCCGGCAACATACTTGTAAATCTTATCTGAACACTTTGACATTTGACGACATCTTTCCTATAGCAAGGAGACCAGAATTGAATGTAGTATTCCAAAAGTGGCCTAACCAATGTCCTGTACAGCCACAACATGGTGTGCCAACTCCTATACTCAATGTTCTGACCAATGAAGGCAAGTGTATTGAATGCCTTCTCTACTAACCTGTCTACCTGCGACTCTGTTCTCAAGGAGCTGTGAACCTGCACCCCAAGGTCTCTTTGTTCAGCAACACTCCTCAGGACTTTACCATTAAGTGTATAAGTATCATGGGAAGTGCGGTGGTTACATTACTGAATTAGGAGCCCCGACTGATCAGTTAGCAAACGAAGATTTAAATCCCACCTATCTCACAGTCCAAGAATTTGAATGCAATTCGGAATTAACTCTGGAAACAAACGGTCACTCCTCGTAGTAGTGACTGTGACACTGTCAGGGCCTTTGTTAAAACCCAATTGTTTTGCAAACCACTGTTTGGGAGGGAGGCCTGTTGTCCTCGACTGTTCTCGGCCTGTAAGTAGCTCCAGACTCTCCACAGTGTGACAAGTTGGCCCTTTAACCGGACTGAAAGAACCGCTTGTTATCGCAAACTACTGCAAAGTAAGTGCCTCATGATGACTTCCTCTGGGCTGATTAGGAATGACTTGGTCATTGACAGTCATTGTCTGAGAATTATTTCCTTTTTAAATTGCCTCAGATCTGTTGGAATCCTCATTGTAGAGTCCGGCACCACTTCCCACTCTCCCAACACCACCCAAAAGAATTGAGAACGAACAAGCAAGCAAGCACCTAGGTTTAATCTGAGTTAGACCTCAGTGCTGTAATCGTTATCTGATGAGGTATGTTGCGTCTTGATGGTGATGGAGGATAGGGCTCCGCAGTGACTTTCTGCGAGATGAATTAGCTGCCAATGCTGATGTGCATGCCTGTCCAGGGATTGGAAAGGGAGCCATTGAATGTCAGGTTACTGGAGACTGCTGTGTCTTCTAGAATCAGGAGTTGAGTGAATCTGGAAACCCAAATGTGTTGTACAGAAGATCCACCCAGCTCATTTCAATGACGCAGTAGGGAATTGTCAGGAGAAGCAAGCTTTAATGTTGTGTGGAGGTGGTGGCGAAGATATGGAGGGATGGGGCTGGGAAAGGCTGGGCCAATTTGGAAAAGGACAGTACGGATTCAGGAATGGGCTGGTGCAGTCGATTAAAGAAGTCTCATTTATTCAAGAGAGAGCAAATAATGAATATTAAATCAGACTATTGTTTTAGCTATAAAGTTCTTCTAGAATGGGATGGTGCAACTATTGCAGAAGAGGATATAAGGATTATTTTTTTTTACTAAGTCTTTGAATGTATCAAACTTCTGTACTAGAAACTGTTTTACGGTTTAGTCAGTAGGAAATTAAATGATTACAAGCGTAAGACGCCTGGAAAGTTGAAAGATAGTACGATTGCAGAGTTTGGCAGTGGACTATGGGTGTGTGAGCTAATCCAATGGAGGGTATCTGCAGCATGCTAACTCTCGGTATTCAGACATAAGGAAAAGGTAAAGAGTTGAGATGTGACTTAAAGGCAATTTTCAATGCCTCCCCTTCCCAGCTATGCCAGTAAATGTAGGATCGTGGAATGATGACAGCAAAGGAGAAGGCCAGTTGGCCCATCATTTCCTTGGTGGCTGTCCCCAAAAGTATCTCAGCCAGTCCCAGTCCTTGGCCACTTTCCTGCCTTACCTTCGGGAATTGAGGGTGGGAAGGGGGTCTCCGAGAACAGCCATCCATAACTTGAGATACCACAGTACAATAGGGCAAGATGCCATACTCATTTTCTGAAGAAGGGCCCCGACCCGAAACGTCAGCTTTCCTGCTCCTCTGATGCTGCCTGGCCTGCTGTGTTCCTTAAGCTCCACGCTGTGTTATGCCATACTCTGCCATGTCTTAGAGAAGAGGTACTGACTAAAAAGTCCTCCCTGACACTCTTTAGCATCTTGGATTTGTGTGGTGATTCAGAGGTCTCAAAAAAACAGTTCTGTGCCTTTTGCTGATGATATTATTATTTTGCCTGAATGTTGATGTGTTATCAATCCAGGTTAGATGGTTGGCGCAATACTGTTTGTCCTGAGCTGCTGGATGTTAATAAATTGTTCTGACTGACTAGCAAGCTGGGATTTCTGCTGCAGCCAGTACACATTAAAAAATAGATTTCTCATGATTAGTTGAGTCAATTTTGTCCTTCTTGAGAACCATTATTAGCTGATATCATGATTAGCATGTTTGGGGTGTTGGTGAATAATAAGGAAATTCATAATGCAATCACAGTAATGACCCCGATGTTACCTTCAGTCCTTCAACTACAGATCTCCACAGACACACAGTCCAAGATATGTACTCATAAGGATACACACGCGCGCACAGACAAACAGGCAGAGGCAGACAGACACACATACATACACAGATAGGCAGGCGCACGTGAGCACACAGGGACAGGTGCGCACTCGCATGCAAGCACACAGGGATAGGCACACATACGCAGGCAAAAACACACAGGCAGGGACAGCTGTGTGCATGCACACAGAAGCAGGCACAGACAGACAGACAGACAGACAGACACGCACAGACTGTTACAGGGACACAGGCAGGCGCGCGCGTGCGCGCGCACACACACACACACACACACACACACACACACACACACACAGTTGCTGGCACAGGGACAGGCAAGCACACGTGCGCAGATGCTAGCACAGGGACAGATGTGCATGAGCATGCACACACAAACACAGACACACACGTACACAACACAATACAGACACACACACACAGGCAGGCATAGACACACACACACACACAGGCAGGCGCAGACGTGCACACATACAAGCGCGCAGACACTGGCATACACACACAGAGGCCGGCACAGACAAACTGACAGACAGACACACACAGACACAGACACACTCACACATAGAGGCAGGCCCAGAGACACACACACACACAGGCAGGCACGGACACATACAGGCACGCAAACACACACACAGGCACAGACTCACAGATGGGTACAGGTGCACACACACACAGAGGCAGGCACAGGAATAGATGCACTCGTGCGTGCACGCCCACACGCACAAACACAAACACACAGGCAGGAAGGCAAAGACACGCACACATGCGTACACAAACAAACACACAGGAACAGGGACAGACACATGCACATGCATGCGCACATGTGCGCACAGGGACATGCGCTCGCACACATGAACGCGAACACACAGGCAGGCACAGGGACAGGCATGCACTCACATGCAAACACACAGGCAGGCACATGCAGACGCACACACAAAGGCACAGGTACAGACTCCCAGACATATACAGGCACAGGCGCATGCACACGCACAGATGCGCACTTACACAGACACGCATACGCACTCAGACAGGCACAGAGGGACACACGCGCAAACAGGCAGGGACAGGTTTGTGCACAGTCACATGCGCACACACAGCGGCAGGCACTGGAACAGATGCGCGCACATGCGTGCAAACACACACAGAGGCAGGGACAGAGATGTGCACAAAAGACACAGGCAGGTACAGAGTTGTACACTTCCGTTTTTTTTTATTCATTTGGGGGATGTGGGCGTCGCTGGCTGACCAGCATTTCTTGCCCATCCCTAGTTGCCCTATGAGAAGGTGGTGGTGAGCTGTCTTTTTAAACCGCTGCAGTCCTCCTGCTGTGGGTTGACCCACAATGCTATTAGGGAGGCAGTTGCTGCTCATTCTTGTTGTAGTGTGTGCTACAAGCACTGTTGGCACCATGAGTGTTTAAGGAACAGTCTTCTGAGCTAAGCAATTTCTTAGCAATATCGGAGCTAACAGTTGGACAGGTTGCAGGGCAGAGCTTCCTGCTGTCCTGGGCATGTTGCCAAGGAAGCCTTTATGTGCATTCGGGTGGATAGACACGCCCTGGGTTTAAAGTCTTATCATAAGATGCCACCTTGCCAGTGCAACACTCCCTCAGTATTACACTGGTTACGTTGGCCTGGATTTTGAGCTGAAGCTGCTGAAGTGAACTTTTTGGGTCAGAGGTCACAAGTCAGCATTACCCACTGAACCATTGCTGACACCAGGCTCCAAAATGTTTGAAAAGATGTGATGGAGAGTGACTCATGGAGAAGTACTTTCTCCTGTCAGGAAGTTGTCAACCCCGCACTCCCCCAACAGTGTGTATTGGTACAAATGTTGGTGTCCTCTCAGTTGTGAAGTGCAAGATTATCCACAGTACAAACTGGAATGTTCCTGTCTCTGGGTAGGGCAGTGGCGGACTGGATCAATTCATGTACTGCTCTGTGACGCACAGGAGAGGGAGTGAGCAATTCACTATGGCAACAGTGGTGTGTTAGTGCAGTTTGAGTCCCACTGCTGGACAGCAGGAACAATGCCAACAGGCGTTCATGCCAGAGACATTCCTGTAGTTGAAGGGTTTCGCTTGTAAACAAGAAGTTAACACTGACCCTTCTGAGGAGAAGGGGGTCTATTTGTCACATTGTCTGTAACCCTCTGCTCTGTCTTCCTTTAGTGGAAGCAATGACAAGGACAACAAAAATGCCAAACCTATCGAGTGGTCCTTCACCACAGTCCGAAAGAAACCGGATCCAAAGAAACTGCAGAATGGAACAGTAAGTAACCAAGAGTTTTCCACAGTGGCTACTCCTATCTCCTTTTCCTTTCTTCAAACTTCCTGTGAAACAGGGTGGTTTAGTTGATGGAAGTAGAATAGGCTGGCTCACTGGGTTTGGAGGAACAACAAAATTCTGCCAAGCGCTAAGCCATGTGTCCATCAGTTTTTTTAAATTCATTCACGGGATAAGGACGTCACTGGCTAGGCCAACATTTATTGCCCGTCCCTAATTGCCCAGAGGGCAGTTAAGAGTCAACCACATTGATGTCGGTCTGGAGTCACTTGTGGGCCAGACCAGGTAAGGACGTTAGTGAACCTGATGGGTTTTTCCAACAATCCACAGTGGTTTTGTAGTCATCATTACACTCTTAATTTCAGATTTTTTTCAATTGAATTTCAATTCTGCAGTGGTAGGATTTGAACCCGAGTCCCCAGAACATTACCTTGGTCTTTTGGTTAACAATCCAGTGATAATGTCACAGGCCATTATTCCCCTGTGCTAAGCAACTGGTGAATCTAATCTGTTTACTACAGGGAAGACAGCAACCAATATGCATGCAGCAAGCCCCCACTAACTCAAATGCGATTACGATCAGCTAACCTGAGTTAGCGATGTTCCTTGAGCAATGAATACTGGTTGGGAGGCTAGGACAAAGTCCTGTGTTGCTCTGTAAATAGTGGGGTGGCTCTCTCTTCCAAGCTTCCAAGAGAACATCCCATCTGAAAGATGGCACTGTCACCAGGGATTTTGTGCTCTGGATTTCGGAGAGGAACACGAATGCCAAATTTCATGCTCAATAGTACATGAAGTGTGAAAGGGATTATGGAAACAGAGACAACTTTTGCTCTGCATTCCTGGTTCAAGATTTACATAACTGAAGAAATAGGAGGAGGAGTAGGCGGTGTGATCTGTCGAGCCTGCTCCAATATTCGATAAGATCATGGATGACTTTTGTGTGGACTCAGCTCCACTTACCTGCCCGCTCACCATAACCCTTAATTCCATTACTATTCAAAAATCTGTCTAGCTTCGCCATAAAGACATTCAACAAGGCAGCCCCGACTGCTTTGCTGGGCAGGGAATTCAACAAATTCACAATTGTTTGGGTGAAGAAGTTCCTTCTCAACTCAATCTGCTCCCATTTACTTTGAGCCCCCTAGTTCTAGTTTCACCCGCCAATAGAAACAACCTCCCTGCTTCTATCTTATCTATTCTTTTCATAATTGGATATATTTCCATAAGATTTCACCCACCCTCCACCCCATTCTTCTAAATTCCATGCTGGTCCAATTTACGTGCTGCCACCAGGCGTTTTCTGCTGATTTAAGCAATCATTAACATTTGATGTTCTTCCACTCTCTAGGACCAAGATGTCAAGACGTTATCAGCATGTTTATCAACTGTGATTGCTCCTCTCTTTGCTGAGGTGGGTCAAATGTGGCAGCTCCTGTTAAGGGTGCCTGATTTGTTTTGATGAGAGAAAGTACTCTGACCTAAACTAAAGCCCACACATCTTTCTCCACCCAGCTTAAGGAACAGGAAAGAGGCAATGCAGAGAAGACTGGAGCAATAAGTGAACTTGAGAAAAGCATTAACATGGTGGAAGCAAGCTGCCCAGGCATCACAGAGAAGATGATAAAGAAGTTAATAGACAGGTTTCAAAGGTCAGTACCTCTAGAGAGATGGTTAAAATACTAACCCTGTATTTGGTAATGATATGTTATTATTGTGTTGAATAGATAATTTATTCAGAAGACACACGACGCCAGGTTATAGTCCAACAGGTTTATTTGAAATCACAAGCTTTCAGAACGCTGCTCCATTCATCAGGTGAAGTTGCCTTCACTCCACCTGACGAAGGAGCAGTACTTCAAAAGCCTGTGCTTTCAAATAAACCTGTTGGACTATAACCTGGTGTCATGTGATTTCTGACTTTGTCCATCCCAGTCCAACACCAGCACCTCCACATCATCGGTAATTTATTGAGCTACTTAGTGAGCTGCAGTGGTATGTATTTATCTGTATTATCTATAATTTAAAACATGAATAATTCCACGTGATAGGCAGGTAGATAGGTAGTGAAGAAGGCATTTAGTTCAATTGCCTTTATTGGTCAGTGCACTGAGTGTAGGAGTTGGGATGTCATATTGCAGTTGTACAGGACATTGGTTAGACCACTTTTGGAATACTGCATTCAGTCTGGTCTCCCTGCTATAGGAAAGATGTTGTGAAACTTGAAAAGGTTCAGAAAAGATTTACAAGGATGTTGCTGGGGTTGGAGGGTTTGAGCTACAGGGACAGACTGAATGGGCTGGGCTATTTTCCCTGGAGCATCGGAGGCAGAGGGGTGACCTTGTAGAGGTCTATAAATCATAGGATGAATAGTCAAAGTCTTTTCCTCCATGTAGGGGTTTCCAAAACTAGACAGTGTAGAATTAAGGTGAGAGGCAAAAGATTTAGAAGGGACTTAAGGGCCATTTTTTTTATGCAGAGAGTGGTGCTTGCATGGAATGAGCTGTCAGAGGAAGTGGTCGAGGCTAGTATAAATACAACATTTAAAAGGCATCTGGATGGATAATATAAATAGGAAGGGTTTAGAGGGATATGGGCCAAATGTTGGTGTATGGGACTAGATTAATTTAGGATATCTGGTCGGCAAAGGGCCTGTTTCTGTGCTGTACATCAGTATGATTTTATGTGAGTCATTATCTCACTGAGGCAGTAATATTTTAGAATTAGTTCCCAGCTTCTGAAATTGTCTTTGAGTCAAACTCAATTACCGCCTCCAACACTATAACTGTGTACTCCATCTCCAGCCCCTTACACATGTTCACAACTTGCACTGACAACTCTCCCTTAAACATCCCAAGGCACTATGCACTATATTCCCTCTCCAACCCTATCAGCTCAAGCAGTGGCTCACCAAGACTAAAGTCTGATACTTTTGTTTTGTGTTAAACTTTGATGACACTCCGGCAGAGCACCTTTACGTGTCTCTCCTTGCTGAAGGTGCCATATCAATGCAAGTAGTGTTGTTATTATTGTGCACATTAAAAACAGCAAGAAGATGTCTCGCTGTGTCTCAATGATAGGATTCTCTTTGTTCCGTGTTCACTTTGCCTGACTTGGTCAGATCTTGTAAACATGATGCATGCAAAGTCTCCACTGCATCGACAAGTCAAACCACAGCTGAGCGGTTAGGGATTCCCCCGTTGAATAAATAACATTTCAGAGGGGGAGAAAGTAGAAATAGTCACTTCCTGCTGTTAGGTTTTCTGCTCCGGTGCCAGGAATATTCAAGTCAATCTTTTGTCAGCAGCAGTCAGATTCCAGTATCTTTTTTTTTGGGAAGCTCCTTTTTACAATAGTTCAGTTTCATGGCCTCAACACAGAAGACCGAGAGTGGTAAACATTGCTGCTGGTTTAACAGCAGCACAATACATTGTGTGCTTTGAGATAACACTGCTGCCCTTACAAATGATCAGATTTTCCATGTTGATAGGAGCAATGCCATAAAGGATCAGTTCGCAGAAATAAAAGAATGTTATTTTCGACCTCTGGAAATGAATGGTAATCAATTTTGTCAATAAGCAACGTTTCCCATTAGTTTGTTGGGTTCATATTCAAATTGAATATTTTCTATTGTTTGAACGACTGCTGAAACCTGGTTTTTGCATCTCACCATCTGTTGCCTGAAATACCCATGATCTGCTTCCCACTCTGGCATTTTTCTGTTCAAACCTCACTCCAAGCAGTTGAACTTCCGGGGCAGTACAGGGGAAGTGCCGCGCTGTCAGAAGTGCTGACTTCCTGATGAGATGTTAACCCGAGGCCTTGCCTGCTGTCTTGGGTAGGTGCAAAAGACCCTATAGCACTATTTGAAGAGCAGCATTCGCATTCTCCTTGGTGCCTTTCTCTGTTGTCTAACTTCACGAGAGATGGTGATCTGCTCATTATCTCAATTCTGATCGTTGTGAGCAAAGTTGTTGCCTCACTTCCTATATGACCACAGTGTCTACACTTTAAAAGTAATGTATTGGCTGTGATCTACTTTAACCTGTCTTGAAAGGCACAATATTGATAAACCTCTGTCTTCGTTGTTGCAATTATTTATACTGATTGGTTGATTGACAATTCTGAGTGGCATCCAGATGGGTACATGATTGGTGGGAAGGGTTTAGAGGGATATGGGCCAAATGCTGGCAAATGGGACCAGATTAATTTACGATATCTGGTTGGCATGGACGAAGCAGACCGAAGGATCTGTTTCTGTGCTGTACATCTATAAGACGCTATAACATTATTGAAAGGCGAGTTTTCCCCTACAGTGCTCTTCATGGATCCCAGGAACCCCAGGATCTCGGTGGTGCCTCAGAACCGCCCACTTGGCCATTCCAAGTGTTGGGCATGCCCATTGGGTTAGAATGGTTAGTGTTCTGGTTCTGTTGACTCCTGTAAGGAATACTGGCTGACTTGTTTCTCGTTCTCATTTCTGATCATTGTTTTTATCTCATTGCCTGGGAATAAACTACGGGTAAAAATAATGATGGGAAAAGTATGAGAAGCCAACCTGATGAGGAACATGCAATTTGTAACTCATTACCTCACAAGAGGAGTGTGTCTTTTGCAATCAGTGATGGTGATCCCACCAAATCGAGGGGTAGAACTGAACTGAGACTGTGGCCTAGTCTAGCCAGCCAATGGGGAGGCAATGATGCAGTGGTATTGTCACAGAGGATACGGGTTCAAATCTCACCATGACTGATAGGCAGCGAAAGTTGAATCAGTGAAAATCCGAAATTAAAACTGACCTATTAGTGATTATAATCACTGTCGATTGTTGTAAAATCCCATCTCGTTCACTTAATGCCCTATAGGAAGGGGAAATCTGCCATTCTTGCCTGGTCTGGTCTACATGTGACTCCAGAGCCACAGTAACCTGGTTCCCTCCTCACTACCTTCTGAAATGGCCTTAGCAAGCCACTCATGGCAAGGGATAATTGAGGATGGGTGATGAATACTGGCCCAGCCAAGGGTGCCCATATTCCATGAATGAATAAAAATAATGTACGAGTGACCTTCTGTAATTGGAGGAGTTGGGCGAGCTCGTAAAACCTTATGGGCCTTGAGCCTTCACCCCATCTAAATCATCATCTCTCAGTCTGGTAATCCTCCCACTGCTGCTGTTTAGCCATCAAGGAGAGAGTCTGCAGTTCTCCAATTGTTCATAGTGCTTTGGAAAATGAGAAACCAAACAATAAGGTGCTGCCACAGAATGAAGGGATTGATTGGAGCCATGAATCACTCACAGAAACTGGGTTCTATGATAAAGTGGGATTTTCACAATCTCACGACTTCATCTCCCTTGGAGTGATGTGCTTAAATCTTGTTTACTAGAAATTTTAGACTGTGTGCAGATATCTGTAGAAACAGTTTTGTTCCGTCAGTGCCCACAAGAGGGAGGACTACTGGCTCCAACCTATCTGTCCATTTACAACTGCACTTAAGTCAATGATCACAATTAAAAGGAAACCAACAAAACTTTAAGAGCGTGCCTGAAAGATTATTTTCTTTTAAATTCATGCTTGGGATGTGTAGTGTGTGTCACTGACAACAGCAACACTAAATTACCAGTTGCCCTACTTGCCTGGGATACAGCATATGACAAATTCAGAAGCAAGGAAAATGTCAATCACATTGAGTTTAATAAAATTATAGCAATATACTGTGGATGCTGGAAATCAGAAACAAGGACAGAGAAACTCAGCAGGTCTGGTAGCATCTGTGGAGAGAGAAGCAGAGTTAGCATTTCGACTCCAATATGTCTGTTCTTCAGAACTGAGAGGTGTTGGAAAATAGACTTTTTTTTAAAAATTCTTTCGACAGAAGCAAGAAGGCAGATGATACTGAGGCCCACATGACAAAAAGGTAGCTAATGGTGGTGAACAAGAAATAGAGATGTAAAATGGGTGGTAAATTAAAGTGTGAAAGGGAGAGAATTGGCTCTCTCTACTCGAAACAAAGTAAATAAGACATAAACTGGTCAAGACTGTGAAGGTGAGAGAATGTAGGAAAAATGGACAGCAGCTGTCATGAAGTCAGTGTCTGAAGTTATGCAATTCAATGTTGATACCTCGAGGCTGTATAAAGTGTTTAAGTGTGAAATGAGGTGTAGTTCCTCAAGCTTGCATTCTGCTTCATTGGAACATTGAACATAAGAACTAGGAGCAGGAGTAGGCCGTCCAGCCCTTCGAGCCTGCTCCGCCATTCAATAAGATCATGGTTGATCTTTTCATGGACTCCGATCCACTTACCCGCGTTCTCACCGTATCCCTTAATTCCTTTATTGTTCAAAAAAAAATCTACCTTATCTTTAAAAACGTTTACTGAAGTAGCGTCCCTTACTGGGCAAGGAATTCCATAGATTAACAACCCTCTGGGTGAAGAAGTTCCTTCTCAATTGTAGCTGGCTCAGGACAGAAATGGGAGCAGGGCAGATTATTGAAATGGCTCTTGAGTTTAGGACTGGAGTCACGTACTGGACAAATTTGGTAGGGATGGTAGGTTTCCTGCCTTAACAGGATGTTAGTGAACCAGCATTTGCAACAGGCCAGCAGCAGCGACATAGTCACTTTTGCTGCTCCTAGATTTACACTTGAAGATTATTTTGAAAATTAGAAATTCTCTTACTCAAAATGTAAGCCTTCTTACCTCGGTTTGTTAGTCCACTGATATAATCATGACATTGTACCCAGAGTCAAGTGGAGCATTAAATGACAATAATGAAAAGCAAGACCATAAGAAATAGGAACAGGAGTAGGCCATTTGGCCCATCAAACCTGCTTTGCAATTTGTTAGGATCGTGTCTCATCTGACACTCCTCACGTCTACTTTTTTGCCCTTCCCCCATATTTGGGCATTGCTGGCTGGGTCAACATTTATTATTCATCCTGAACAGAACCTTGATGAAGGTCAAGGAAAATAGAACAACTGCAAACTTTAAGGTGTCGGGCCACCCGCAACACTATTGGAGATGGAGATCCGGGAAACTGACTCAGTAATAAAGAAGGGATGAGAATATAGTTCCAAGTCAAGAAGTGATATTGCAGTTTTATAAAACTTTGGTTAGGCCACACATAAGTGTATTGCATTCAGTTGTGGGTGCCACATTACAGGAAGGATGCAGAGGCTTTGAAGAGGGTGCAGAAGAGTTTTACCAGGATGCTGCCTGGATTAGACGTTATGAGCTGTAAGGAGAGGCCAGACAAACTTGGGTTGTTTTCTCTGAAGTGGCAGAGCCGAGGGGAGACTTGATAGAAGTTTATAAAATGATGAGATGCATAGATAGGGTTGATAATCAGAATAGTTTTCCAGAGTTGAAATGTCTAATACTAGAGGGCATGCATTTAAGGCGAGAGGGGGAAAGTTCAAAGGATATGTGAAAGGCAAGTTTTTTTTACACAGAGTGGTAGGAGTTTAGAATGCGCTGCCAGGGATGGTGGTGGAGGCAGATACGATAGTGGCATTTAAGGTACTTAAACAAGCACATGAATATACAAGGGATGGTGGAATATGGACCAAGGGCAGGCAGAAGGGATCAGTTTAATTTGACATCATGTTCACACAACATCGTGGGCTGAAAGGCCCATTCCTGTGCTGTATAGTTCTATGATCTATGTTCCAAGTTAGGGTGATGTACTGCTTTAAACAATAAAGTAGCCTGAAGAAGCTTTGCAGGAACATTAATCAGACATTATCTCATGGAGATATTAGCACAAGCATGATCAAGGAAGTGGATTTAAGGTAAGCAATGAGTTAAAGCAGAGGAAAGAAGCGGAGATATTTAGGAAGGGAATTCTAAAATGTAAAGATCAGGAATCTGAAGGCATGGGCACCAGTGCAGAGAAACTAAAAATCAGGAATGTGGAAGAGGCCAGACCTGGAGAAGCAGCAACATCTCGGAGAGGTGTCGGAAAACATAAAGATAGCAAGGTGCGGAGGAATTCGGAAACAAAGTTGAAAATGTTACAGTTGCTGAACTGGGAATCGGTGTAGACCATTGAATCTTGGATGAGGGCAATAGGGGAAAGGATCCTGACGCGAACTAGAAAGCAGACAGCAAAGTGTTGGGCAGCTTTTGTAGAGAGACTGTTGTTCTGCATAAAATGCCACCTTTCCTTCTAATTTTATGATCTTTTGACTGTATTAGGTTTTCAGCGACTGATGCATCCTAAAGACATCACCCACCAATTTGGATTCTTTTATCAGACTGAACTGTCCAAACCGAGCTCCGAATGACACCCCCAGAAATGGAACAGGGGTGTCTTCTCGCCTCCTTGCACCTTTGTTCTCTCTCAAAACCTTCTGAACTCTTCGGAATTTTAAACAACGAGCTTTGTCAAAAAAAAAGCACCTGGTGAAGAAAAAGGAAGAAACTCCCAATTGACTTCAGGAAAGCCTGAAATAATTGATTTTTTTTTAAACAGAGAGGTTCTTCATCCTGGTTGATTATTTAAGTAGAAATGTCAAACCCTAGCACTGACTTAAGTGCCATTCTTGATGGTGATGTGTGTTTAGGAAATTGTAAAGCATTGATTTTACATTAATACCCCACAAAATCCAACTGTGATTAGTCGTAATGCAGCTAGGTGCCTTTCAGAAATGAGGGATTTTATTGTAGATTGGAGAAAGGTGCCCATTAATTCGAAGAGCGGGTAGAGATATTTGCTTTCTCCTCTTCTCCCAAAATGTCTTGTTTCTCTTCATGTCGGTCCAATGGGAAAGTACAAATCATGCAAAAGAGGTATAATGATTAAGATTCCCCACTCTGTCACCTTGCCTCATGGCAAGACCAGCTTTGTGCGATTTGAGTGTCTACTCCTAATCCCATCATCTTGACTACGGGTAAAATCAGTGGTTATCTTAAGCCAAGGATATCCATTCCTGAAAATATGGCAAGAGTTAAGCAACTCACTGAATCAGATTAATATTTTCTGAATATCTACGTGGTCCTATTTGATTTGGGATGCACCACTCACTGCTGTTTCTTTGTTGCAGATAAATCCCGCTAATACTATTTATAGATTAATAGGAATTCAGATAGGTACATTCCCCAGCTGTCCTGAAGGTTCCAAATGAATCAGCCTACATGGTCCTTAAAGACAACAGCTGGAGTTTCCTGAGTTTTGGAATGTGTTCCCAACATATTGACCCATTATGCTGACTGCTCTTTATAACATCTTATAGTTCATTACTTGGTATTAGTTCACATATCCTGTTGAAGACTAAAGTAAATCTTTAATAGGAATGGAGCATTGCTGCAAAATAAAAAGACATTGTCAGAGCTTTCTTTTTTTGTCTTGTACTTGTCAGGACAGACGCAAGAATCCCAAATTTCAAAGGGAAGAACAATTTAGACAGTATGGGTAAAGGATGCTAATTGGTTGGGAAGTTGATTCTGATTGGCATTAATGGAGAATGTACTGTAGAGTTATTGCAGTCCCTCCTCCCACATCCCCTTCACCCTTTCCCTCCTGCCTTTCTCTCCTCCTTTCCCACGCCCTCCCTTCACTTCTCCTTCTCCCTGCTTTTCTCCCCATCCCCCCTCCCTCCCCTCCGCCCTCCATCTTTCCTTCCTCACTTCCTCCAATTCTCCTCCCCCTCCTCCTCTCCCCTCCACCCATTTTACCCTTCCTCCTCCTGGCCTCACGATGCCTTTAATTCGAAAAGTGCACAAATACTATTGTTGCAAAGGGCAGGTCCTCGCAAAGGAATATATCTGCCTTCTATTAAGCGTAAGTGCCGTACATTGCAAATCTGGCTGATGATCTTAAATTGCTTGTTCATGTCTTTCGCACATTCCTGTGTTGTCTGGAAACTGAAAGAACATGGTCCGGTCTTTTTTGCCCTTTTCTGCATTAACAACATGAGGGCAGGTTGAGTGATATTTCCCTGGTGCATTGTCTATGGAAATGCTTTGACCAATCAACTTGCCAACCAGTCAACTTGCCGACCAATCTGGACGCTTTCCTCATACAGTGTAAATTGTTGCCCCCTTTGAAACTTGGCATTCTTGTATTTGTCCTGATGCGTGCAAGACCAGAAGCTCTGACAGTTTCGCCTTTCAGCAATGCTCGGAGCTCTGTATGGCCCAAGCAAATAACTTTGGGCATTGTTCAGACAAAGCAGACATCTCTGCTTCTGATGCCCATGTTTTATGTGGCTGCACAGCTCATGTGCGGAAGCCAACTTCTTTTTACAGGATTCTGCAGTCTCTTTGGAACCATCTTACATTCTGCCTCAAGAAAAGGCAAGAAATTCTATTTAAAACAGCAGCATTATCACTTGCTTACAAAAACAAAGCAAGTTACCCTTTCACTCGCTCCTTTCATACTGTTGGCCATACTTACTTGACCTTTAGGCCTTGGGTTCCTACAAAAATAACCTCAAAATCAACCCCCAATTGAAGAATGGGATTGAGAGAGAGAGAGAACTGCGTTTGTATATATTTTCTTGCCAATCATCCCATTGCTCCACAGCAACACTCTTCCCTATGCCCTCCCAAACAGCTAGATTTGAGGCTCACATAATGAAAGCTACTTTCTGTGCCTTCAAGAAGCACCCCCCTCCCCAGTTGTCTCATTCGATAACTCGATTTGGCAATGCCTGCTTTGAAAGGGAGTGACCTGCTCTGTGTCCCCTTAATGATGCAAGAAAGCTGTTGAAAGTGGTCGTATGAAAAGGCAATGTGCAGATAAAAAGCTACTTGCAGACTGTTCACCCCAGTGCATGAGAAGCGGGAGAGGCCAGTGGAAAACCGGAATTAACAGACTTGTCCCATCATTCACTGGGGGGGCCATGGAGGGAGTTGATTGGTGGTCAAGAGGGGAGATGGGAGATAATTGCTGAGCAATCCACGACAAGTCAGGAAGATATGTCCACAATATGAGTTTGAATGAGATTCTACATTTTTCTTCTGTAATCTTGTCAAGTAGCTGAGCTACTTGCTGCTGCAGTCTTCCTTCACAGCAGAAGGCATGCAATAAATTCTACGAAAATACCTTTTATCCAATCTCTATAAATTATTAAGAAGTCCTCTTCTCTTCAGGTCCAGTCTCCGTGTTAACTTCCCTTGCTCTCAGTATATTTGTAGACCCCTTGGAGGTGGGAGGGGGTCACAGTTGTTTCTATCTGTTGTCAATTTGTAACACCACAGTTGTGTGCAGCTTCTTTTCAAAGTTCCTCAGAACGGCATCAGAATAAAAGGTCAGATGCCCGATGAACACAGTTGACCAGTTGCTTTTGACATCCACTTCAGGAAGTGTTTGAGGCAGTCTATGTCTCTAGATGCAAAAAAAAATATTGGAAGTCGGTCAATCTCCCTTGTTTGTAAAAATATGATGAAATATTCCCATTCACTATGGATAGAGGAGGGCTGGCGTACCAGTGATGTCTCCAAAATATTGGAAAATTGGAGGTCTCTTTATCACCCCTCTCCCACTAGTTACACTCCTTTGTCAGAATGCCCATTAACCGGCAAGATGGCTATCCCATTCAACAGAACTAAAAGAACAAAAGCACAGAATTGAAGTGTAAAACTGTGCTTGAATATGAGGGGCTCTGTTCAGTTCTGAGTTCTCAATGTGTGCTGAAATAATTTGGGAAGGATTTGCACTCCCCAAATTGGTGGATCTAGTCAGGACTCCCAGGAATGGACAGTTCTCCATATCTAGCCTGAGAGAGAGAACTGCTTGTGTATATATTTTGTTGCCAATCATCCCAGGATGTTTACACTTTCCTTCTGACTCTTTAGTTCTGTTTTGTGCAGGACACAATGTAAAGATATACCATTGCATCTTGCTTTTTTTTAACCTGCTCTGTAAATTTTACCTTTGTGCGAAATTTCTGTTTTGATATACAAATATATATATAGTTCGCTTAGTCGTATTTTGCCAAATATTTCAACAAGTGATTGGTTTGTGCATGGTAATTAGGCAACATATCAATGGCAGAATAGAATTTAGATGCCACTAGTGTTCTGATGCACATCATTTCACACACTGTTGTTGGAGCCCGGCATATATCGCAGTTTGCCAAGTATTACACTTTAGCCAGTACCAGTTGCAATAATATTTACCCAGTCAAATCGTCCTGAAAGTGACAAAAATCAGGCCAATTTTTTTTCTAGGTTTAAACAGAAATTATCATTTTGGAGGTAATTTTGTAAAAGCCACAATTAATGTCTTGATTGAAAGCAATATTTTTGTAAGTGTGTATAAAAAATGGTAGCGGTGTAAATATAGAAATATGAGAGGAGGGGTGAGCGATCTGTGTTTGCAAGATCTGTGACCATTAGTCTTGTAAATCTTATTTTGTAGATAACATTTGTTATTCTTAGTCATGGGTTTTGAATGGTTTTATGAATAAATATTTAAATGATCCTCATTCTGTATTTTGAGTGCTTGTTAGAAATTGTGGTGACTGTTTTGGAATGACACAGTATTCAGTGATTTTTTTTTTCTTTGCCCAAAAGAAGGTAGAAAGCAGAGTAGCCATTCAGCCACAGGGGTGGTACAGTGGCTCAGTGGTTAGCACTGCTGCCTCACAGTGCCAGGGTTCCAAGTTCAATTCCACCCTCAGGCAACTGTCTGTGTGGAGTTTGCACATTCTCCCTGTGTCAGTGTGGGTTTTCTCTGGATGCTCCTATAATCTAAAGATGTGTAGGTTAGGTGGATTGGTCATGTTAAATTGCCCATTATGTCCATGGATATGCAGGCTAGGTGGGTTGGCTGTGGGGAAATGCAGAGTTACTGGGATAGAATAGTGTAGGGGGTGAGATGCCCTTCAGTGGATTGGTGTAAACTCAGTGGGCCAAATGGCCTACTTCCACACTGTAGGAATTCTAGCTCTTTGAATTTATTCTGCCTTTCAATTGATCCCAGCTGATCTGTACTCATTACTTGCCTTGATTCATTTTCTTAAACTTCACATTTCTTAAACCTTTACCTATAAAAAATCTGACATTCAGTTTGAATTTTCAATTGATCTAGCCTCAACAACTTTTTGGGAGGTAGTTTTCCAAATTTCTTCTTCCCTTTATGGAGAGATGCTGCCTTATGTCACCTTGAGTAGCCCAGCTATAATTTTTAACACTCCTCCTTCTGGACTTCATCCCACCATAAAAGAAAGAGAAATAATTGACAATTGATCTCCCATAGCACCTAAATTAGATCACCTCTTATCCTCTATATTCTGGGAAACAGCAACCCAATCTATGCCCAAGGGCAGAAAAGTGCCATTAAGACTGCACGGTAAGATGGTCATGGCCATTGTGGAAGCCAGTCAAATTTCTCCCTGCTGTGCGCAGATTTGTTGCTAGATTCCTACATTGACGGTAAAACACTTTGGGATACCTGTGATCTGAACTGAAATGTAATAGCCCATAATTTTATGAGTGCAAGGTGAAAATCTCTATGGCAACAATATAACTCAAGCCAGGGTACACAGGAGAAACAGTTGGGTTTGTATAACAAGCCAACAATTTTACCGTCACTTGAACAGATCTGAGTGTTTTTAATTAAACTTAGTTGAGTTTGCATTCTTGGCGGAGTTGGAACTTTCACTCAGCGGAATATTGATAGTATGTCTTTGAGGGATGTGTGAAAATCACAGGTCCTAAAGACGGGGAACAAAAGCAGCAATTTTCAAATAAGCCCAAAAAAGATGCTGGATGCAGCTGGCCAGTCTGTGATTGCTGTGGCAGAAAGTTTATACAATAATACTTACAAAAGGAAACCTCAGGCTAAAGTAATGGCAATCTTGTGCCTCTGAAACTCTGTCCCACACTCATCAGTTAAGTACTCTGCGTTATGTTAGAATGAATGGGCAGTTTTATAAAATATTTGTTCCAACCTATTAATGGATTCCATGAAGCACATTTCCTGATAAGGGGTAGAAAAAAATACAGAACCTTCCCTCCTATTTTTCCTTCATCTGACTGTATCCTTTTCAATGACGAGATCTGGGACCAACTGAATTGTTCTACAGAGAAGTGACATGGTCTCAATGGACTGAATGAGTCCCATGCCATAACAACTAATCAACTTCTGGTAAAATGCAGTATTGCATATACATCATACAGGGTTACACCATTACAGTGCTCCCTGCAAACTGTTACGTATGTTGCAATTATGCTAAAGTGTTCACATTGATACAGTCATTTAAGGATGGTTGCGAATGGGAGTTTAGCTCAGGACTCTGTTTGCACATTAAAACAAGAACTGTGACACAGCTGCCTGGAGGTTATCCTACAACGCTTCAGGTTTTTAGCAGGTGGAGTACAATATCGACAATAAAGCATTTTCTTTGGACCACTCTCGTGGGTCAAACATGAAGTTGTAGGTTCATATGCTCTGTCACGGTCACATCGTATGAGATGTGTTAAGCTGCTGGACACTTTACTTGTAAAAGCTAAAATGAAATGTGGACACTCATCTTGACAAAATAGGTTCCTTTGGGTCAGGTGAACTCCTTTTGAAGTTTTGTTTTCACTGACGGGGACAACTTCATGTCCTGATATGGTGTGGATGGCAACATGGCTCAGTGGTTAGCACTGCTCCCTCACAGCACTCCGGACTCGGGTTTATTGCAGCCTTGGGTGATAGTCTGTGTAGAGTTTGCACGTTCTGAGTGGGTTTGCTCTGGTTTCTGCCCACACTCCAAAGATGTGCAGGTTAGGTGGATTGGCCATGGGAAATTGCCCAGAGTGTCCGGGGATGTGTAGGCTAATGCGGTTAGCCATGGTAAATGCAGGATTATGGGGATGGGTCTGGGTGGGTTGCCCTTTGCAGGGTCGGTGTAGACTTGTTGGGCTGAATAGCCTGCTTCCACATTGTTGTGATTCTATGATTCTAATGTCTCTGGAAAATAAAATGTAAATAGCCTTCCCAGATGTTAGTGATTGTCCTTTCCATTTTAATTGAAGAGACTTAAAACATCAATGTCCATTGGATATGCTGGCCGCACAAAGATTAACATTCAAATAAAGATAGTGAGGAGGTTACTCAAGACAGGAATGTTAATGTTCTTCATTGTGTAACAATTATCTGCCATCACCCATCTGCCATTGTAGGAATATGCCACTACTGTCACATGACTGAAACTGATTTGAAATGGCCAATATGTTATTAGTGGACAAAGGTAATCTAGTGACTCAGTCTAGAATGTGAAGATCAAAGGAAAACTATCTGTAGACCAACACAAGAGAGAACACCGCCTCAAGAGTCAACATAAACAAAGAATTTGGGTTTGTTTGTTCTAACTTCCAGAAAATAGTTCTTAATTTTAAGAGAACTTTGACCTTGTCTGGAAAGCCAGAAACTTGCTGCTGTTTGGGGTGAACCTGTGTGAATTCTTCACCAGAAACACATGGCCTTCATTTCTCCCCAGTATATTGAGAGAATTCTTCAAGCCTGCAATGTTTCAACTATTATCTTGAGAGCTAATTGAAAATGATGTTATTCTTTTAACTCTTTGTCAAATTTAATTGCAAGTTGGACCTTTTAGAAATATTTTCTTATCCTATATCTGAGTATCCAAAATATGTTTTTTGTGATCACATTTCAGGTGTTTTCAGAAATAAACATTTATCCTTGCCAGAAAGACTGCTTTGTATTTGTTAGTTCAAAACACAATGTGCAAGAGGTTAAAACATTCCTTCTCTAAAAATGCATCCTGGTACAGCCAGGAGAGAGGGGAGCAAAGGGACAGAATGATCCCACAGGATGGGACAGTGGCTCAGTGGTTAGCACTGCCACTTCACAGCATCAGGGACGTGGGTTTGATTCCACCCGCGGGCGGACTTTGCACATTCTCCCCATGTTTGCATAAGCTTCCAGAGATAGAGTAGGGGGTGTGGGTCTGGGTGGGACAATCTTTGGAGGATTGTTGGGCCGAATGGCCTGCTTCCACACAGTAGGGATTCTATCATTCCATGATCTCTCTCTGTCTGCAAGATTGTATATCACATGTGTCACTACAACTTGTGCTGAGGTAGCCCTGCAAGTATACCTGATATCGACCATGCAGTACATTTCCACAGCTTTTATCTGTGCCATAGCCTTTAATATTTCTCTATTTCACGTTTTGTGGTAGCATAAGAGGAACTTGTATGTAACTACCATGAATGATGTTAAATCTGTTACTACAGCAGCAGACATAATTGCCCTTAAGTCAATAGTAATGCTGGTTAATTAACTAAGTCTAACTCCAAAAAGGATCACTAACATTAGGTGGTTGCTGTTTAACAGAGGACAGAAAGATTCTTGATGCACAAGTTATCATTCAGACAGTAGATGAATGAATTGTTTAAATAACCAATACTGTGCACGAACTACATGGAACGCGCCCATCGCAGTAGACAACATAATAATGAAAGAGAGACCAGGGAGACTCCAGCACACAATCTCACGGTTCGGGTCATTTTCTTATGGAGATGTTTACAGAACTCCAACAACAGTCAACTCGTGGTCAGGAGTGATGGCAAAGACAACGGTTGGGGATTGGTGATGGGGCAGGAAGCTGTGAAGGCGGGTCCATCCCAAACTAAATGAAATCGGTGTAGATCGTCAGGTGTCTGAGCTTGTCGGCGCAATTCCGATCGAATGAGGCTGCTTCGTCTGACTGGAAGCTGGCTGACGCAAACCGACCTCCCTTCGGTGCGGAGGATCGAAGAGCTTTGCCGAATGGACGCGGATGGAAGTAGGCGCTGATAATTTCCGAGTCTGAGTCGCTGGATTCTGTGCCACTGCTGATGTATCGTTCTGTTGTCTGCAGGACCTCTCTGCGTTGCAGCATCCCGTGCACTAGGTGTACAGGACCCAGTTTACCGAGAGTTTGTCTCCGACCCAAGGGCAAGAAGTGAGCCAGGGGCCGTAACTCCGGCGCATGGACTAGGCCGAGGGTCTTCACATCGGACTGGCTGCGAGATCTTTTGGAAGGCAGCCGAGTGTCATCCTGTTGGTTCTCCTCCTCCTTCACGGCGTTCAGTGTACTGCCGTAGCTCCCCCTCATCACAGCCCGCTGGTAGAACCCATAATTGGCTAAGAAGCTGGAAGCGGGCAAGCTGACTGGGCGGGCTATGCCCGAAAGTCGAACAATTTCTTTGTCTGTCGACGTGCAGCACGTCGGTTGGAGAGATCCGTCCGTTGAGCTGTCCGAATTGGGGAAACTATCGCCAAGGCATTGGCTCCCTATTGTGAACTTGGGCGAGTCCCCACCTGTCAAGCCTCCTGGATCTGTTTCCTTCGGGGTACGGTTAGTCAGAAACTCTAAGCTGCTTTTTTGCAGTTGCACTGGATCTTTCTTTACCTCAGCGTCGCTGACGGAGGGAGCAGAGAGATCGCGGCTGGAGAGAAGGTCTAATGCTATGTCCGCCTCGGGCTTGGACCTCTCCAGTTCAGTGCTGAACACAATCTCCACTGCCGACTCCTTCCTCCGTCTCTGTGCTGCCCTCGGCCCCACCTTATGCTGGACGTCTCCTGGTTGCCCAATGCCCCGAAGATCATGTGACGATCCCTTGTCCTGAATAAGACACAATTCCTCAGAGATTATCAATGAAGCAGAATGATTGGAGGCAGGGATTGATCTTGACTTTGTCTGTTAGCCTAAATGGGTAACCACGAGTTGGCAGCCCGTTCAAATGGGAACTAAAAACAGGGAGTAATGGGAAGTGGGCTGCTAATTCATTATCACCCATTTTACAAAAATCATGCAGTGTCATGCTCGATAACCATAGACGTTCAAAGAAATCAACGCTATTTTGTGATTAAAATATGGACCTAGAGATTATACCGATCTGGGGTATTGTCAGAAACACCTGCAAACCGGACCTCAACCAATTGCATGCTTTTAAAATGCTTTAAGCGGGAGTGAGCCTCACACAGAACGATGATATGGCCAAGTCGAAAAACACTCGCTGATGAGCTGATCTCCCACTCACCAATGCCTTCAATTCCCAAGTATAGTCATCCGCTCAGTTGCACTTCCTCTGAGATACTCAGCATTACCACCTGATCTTTAGATAGAGCAGAATAGAAAATAATCTCTTTTTTCTGGTCTTTTTAAAAAGATCCTCAATGACCTGGTCTGAAGCCACTGCAGTTCACGATGAAAATGGAAAAACTTCATTGACAGCAGTGTGTTACTGTTGTACTGATGGCCAAAAGCTCTGGAGGGTGTCTCTGGGTTCTGCTCTCTTGTGTACACTGATCTCTGCTCAGTTTGTAAGATTGCATTCCTGAGCCTGTTTTGGCTTTGATAAAAATGAGGGCAATGCATGTTTCTTTGGGTTAAATTTCAGATTTGTCAGAGAATGAAACCTCTGACCCTATTCAGGTCTTACACTGAAGTCACAATACATCAAAAACTAAACTCCTCAGAATCTTATCTGGCTGTTTGATCTTTTAGTCATGATTTTTGAAGCAATCTTTATAAATGCAACAGTGAATTGATCACACAGTCATTTTAGAACCATTACTTCACTGACCTGTACCCCCACCTCAAGGCCGGTTCCTGCTGAATCTTCCTCAGATTGTACATTACAATGCTTCCTGCAGAACACAGATGAAAAGACAAACATAATCATAAAGGCACAGGATTTATATGAACATCATGCCTTCCTCTTCAAAATAATTCCATAGAATCTTTTATGTCCATTTGAGAGGTCATTTGGATCTTCTGTTTAACTTCTCTTCTGAAGGATGCCGCATTAACAGAGCAGCTGTCTCTCGGTGCCACACTGGACTGCTAGCCGTGATTATGGGATTATGTTTTGGAAGTTTCTAATGGAAAGTTATCTGTCTCAGAGTTGAGAGGTCAACCTAAGCGGCTAACCCGACTGTTTTGGTGGTGTTTGCCTTAGGGATGAATGTCAGGCAATGATGCAACAAGATCTCTGATCCACCCCCTGAGCAGGAAAGGTTTGTCTTTGTTTCATCTGAGATCCAGTGGGTCTGAGTCCTTCAAATGCTCCACTGTTCTTTGAATGTCTCCCAGTTCCCCAACCATCTGGCTCAGGACCAACTGACACTTAATTAGAGCAGGTTGAGAAGCTATGCGCTTTGAAGTTCATAGAATCCCTTCAGTGTGCAAGCAGGCCGTTCAGCCCATCGAGTCCATGCCAACACTCTGCAGAGCAGCCCACCCAAACCTACCCCTTCCCTGTAACCCTGGCTAATAGCTTATTTAAACATTTGCAATGAGGTTTTGAATAGATTCTCCATCATATGCAGACAAACCTATGAGAGATCGTAGAATCGTCACAGTGGGGAAACAGGTCATTTGGCCCATCGAGTCCACACCAACCCTCCGAAGAGCATTCCACCCAGACCCACACCCCTACCTTATCCCTGTAACCCTGCATTTCCCATGGCTAATCCACCTAGCCTGCACATCCCTGGACACCATGGGCAATTTAGCATGGCCAGTCCATATAACCTGCAGATCTTTAGACTATGGGAGGAAACTGGAGCACCCGGAGGAAATTCATGCAGACACGAGGAAACTCTGCACAGACAGTTGCACAAGGGTGGAATCAAACCTGGGTCCTTGGCACTGTGAGTCAGTGCTATCCTCTGAGCTACCGTGCCGCCCTATTACAATTGATGGACAATTGTAATCTATAGAGCAACTGAGACTGTCCAGACAGTAAGGACAGGTAGAACTCACTCTCACCTGATGTAGTTGAACCAGTTGAACAGTACAGGTGGCTTTAAGGAGAAGCCAGATAAGCAGATGAAGGAGAAAGGAACAGGAGGATATGATAATAATGTCTGATGGACAAATATGGATCCAGGGAGGGTCATGTGGAGCCTCATCCTGCTGGACTGATTGACCTGGTTCAATGATCATCAAAATGTCATGTAAGGAATAAGTAATGCCTCTGAATTTTGAGATAGACAATCTGTTGAATATTACCTTTGAAATGGCACCTTCTTAAAATCTCCTTTGCTAAGATAGTCAGCCAGTTGCTTTTGAGTTCTTCCACTGAAAGAAAGTTACAGGAAGAAAAGTTACAGGAAGAACTTGCCTTTACATATCACCTTTCATGACCTAGGTATGCTTCAAAGCGCACCCCCCCCTCACCATTAAAATACCTTTGCATATCAAGCTCTCACAGAAATGTGAAAAATAAATAGATCTTCTGTCTTCATGATTCTGTCTGGTAGGAAATTAATGGGCAGAGTGGTAGGGAGAGCTCATAGAATCATAGAATCTCTACAGTGCAGATAGAGGTCATTTGGCCCATCGAGTCTGCATTGACTCTCCAAAGAGCATCCCCATCTAGCCACTCCAAAGCATATCCCTGTAACCCTGCATTTCCCATGGTTAACCCACATAGCCTGCACATCCCTGGACATTATAAGCAATCTAGCATGGCTAAGCCACCTAACCTGCATATCTTTGGACTATGGGAGGAAATCAGAGCACCCAGAGGAAACTCTCGCAAACATGAGAAGAATGTGCAAACTCCACACAGTCGCCCGAGGGTCGAATCAAACCCAGGTCGCTGGTGCTAACCATTGTGCCACCATCTTGCTCTTCCTCTGATTTGTGCTATAGGATCTTTTGCATCCACTTGAAAGGGCACACAGAGCTTTGGTTTAACATGTCTTCTGAAAGGCTATCAGTGCTGTACTGAGAGTGTTAACCGGGATCCTGTACAATCGTAAAAAATTACAATACAGAAGGAGGCCAGTCGACCCATTGTGTCTGTACTGGCTCCCAAAAGAGCTACTCAGCTAGTCCCACTCTCCAGCCCTATTTCCTTAGCCCTCTGAATTCATCACTTTCAAATATATATCCAGCTTTCTTTTGAAGCCTCCTATGGAATCTGCCCCCACTACTCTCCCAGGCAGCTCAGTCCAAATCCTAACGACTATCCGATTAAAGAAGTTTCTTCTCATCTCACTACTAGCTCTGCTGCTGGCAATCTTGAAATTGTGACTGCTGGTTACTGACATACCAGCTAGTGGAAACAGAGTATCCTCCTTTACCCTGTCAAAATTGTTTATAATTTTGAATGGCTCAATAAGGTCACCTCTCAATCTTCTCTGCTCCAAGGGCAATAAGCCCAATCTTTCTAATCTTTCCTTGTATCTAAAAGCCTCCATTCCTGGTACCATTCTAGTAAATCCCTTTTGCATGCTGTCCAGGACTTTAACATCCTTCCTTAAGTAAGGTGCCCAGAACCAAACCAATGCTCCAAATGTGGTCCAACCAATGATTTGTAGAGGTGTAGTGTCACTTCCTTACTTTTATACTCAATTTATAAACCCAAGAATCCCATAAGCCTTCTTAACAACTGTTTCAATTTGCCTGGCCACCTTCAGAGAATCATGCACGTGAACCCTGAAGTCCCACTGCTCCTGTACTGCCCTCAATGTTGTACCATTGAGCCTGGATGTCTCTCCATGTTTGTTCTACCAAAATGCATTATGTCACATTTCTCTACATTGAATTTCATTGGCCAAGTGTCTGCTCATTTGGCCAACTTGTCAATGTCCCACTGAAGTCACTCAGCAACATCGTCACAATTCACTATTCTCCTTAGCTTAGTATCATCTGCAAATTCAGATATTTTGCCCTCAACACCCTTCTCAAAATTGTTTATATAAATCAAGGGTCCCATCACCTACCCTTGGAGAACACCACTTTCAACTCATCTCCAATCTGAGAAATGCCCATCTATACCTACCCTGTTTTCTATCTTATTGACAGTTTCTAATCCATGCTGCCAAGGACCCATCAATCCCAAACATTTTTAATTTGCTAACCAAACTGCCATGTGGCTTTCTGAAAATCCAAATATACAACATCCACAGCACTACTCTCATCCATTGCCTGTGTTATCTCAACAAATGAAGTCAATTAAATTTGTCAGACATGACCTGCCCTTGACTGTCTAGTATTAACTCACTTTCCTCTGAGTGTATATTTACCTTATCCCACATTATGGCTTCCATCAGTTTTCTCAAATTGATGTCAAGCTGACAGGCATACCCGGGTCCTGGGTTATCTTTGTACATTTCTTAAACAACAGTATCACATTTGCAATCTTCCAGTCCCTCTGGACTAATCCTGAGTTCCGAGACGCCTGGAAAATTTCTGTCAATGACTCTACAATTTGCTCCCTTACCTCTCAGTTATCCAGGATGTATCCCATTTGGGCTTGGCGACTTCTCTATCTGGACTGCTGCCAGCCTTTTTAGCTCCTCTTCTTTATCTATCACTGTACTGTTCAGTTGCTCAACATTTATATTTTCAACGGAACCATTATTACCATTTTCCAATTTGTTAAAGATTGAAGCAAAGTATTCATTTAGTATCTTCTGCCACACCCTTTACTTCTATGAACGTCATACTCTGTTTGTTCCTATGGACCACACTCTATCCTTCACTAATCTTTTCCTATTAATATATTTGAAGAACGTTTTACTACTTGTTTTAGTGAAGCCTGCCAGCCTTTCCTTATGTTTCCTCTTATTCTGTCGCATTCCAGCCTTAGCCTGTCTAATGTATTTGAGATAGTCTTCCTGATTTCTATTGCTGATATTATTCCATATGGATCATACGCCTCCTTTTTGTTCCTTATTTTTCTCATCAGTATCCTTATGTGTCGTATTCAACGGCTTGGTTTTTCTGTGTTTGATGATGTAAGTTGATTTACTATTGGTGTTTGTCATCCTTGATTATAGAAGCTTAAAGATGGACTCAGAGGAAAGCAAACTTTATTTATTCATGGGAAGTGGGCATTACTGACTGGGCTAGCATTTGTTGCCTGTCACTAGTTGCCTTTGAGAAGGTGGTGGTGACTTGTCTTCTTGAAATGTTGCAATCCATGTGCTGTGGATAGACCCACAATGCCATTAGAGAGTGAATTCCAGGATTTTGACCCAGCAACATTGAAGGAGTGGCAATTTATTTTTAAGTCCATAACACCATAAGATATAAGAGCAGAATTAAGTAGCCCATCGAGTTTTCTCCACCATTCCATCACAACTGATACATTTCTCAACCCCATTCTCCTGCCTTCTCCCCATAACTCTTGATCCCCCTCACCAATCAAGAACTTATCTATCTCTGTCTTGAATACACTCAATAACCTGGCCTCCACAGCCCTCTGTGCAAAGAGTTCCACAGATTCATCACCCTCTGGCTGAAGACATTTATCCTCATCTCAGTTCTAAAGGATTGTTCCTTCACTCTAAAGCTGTGCCCTTAAGTCCTAGTCTCTCCTACTAGTGGAAACATCTTCTCCACATCCACTCTATCCAGGCCTCTCAGAATACTGTACATTTCAGTGAGATCCCCCTGCATCCTTCCAAACTCCATCCAGTACAGACCCAGAGTCCTCAACCACTCCTCATATGACAAGCTCTTCGTTCTCGGGGTCATTCTCGTAAACCTCCTCTGGAACCCCCTCCAATGCCAGCATATCCTTCCTTAGTTATAGGGCTCAAATCTACTCTTAATATTCCAGATATGGTCTGACCAAATTCTTATACAGCTTCAGCAGTACATCTCTGCTCTTGTATTCCAGCCTTCTTGAAATTGCATTAATGTTTCACTTGACTTCCCAAATACCAACTGAACCTGCTTGTTAACCTTAAGATAATACTGAACTAGGACTCTCTAGTCCATTGTTACTTCAGATTTCCAAAGTCTTTCCCTGTTTTGAAAACAGTCCACACTTCTATTCTTCCTACCAAAGTGCATAACTTCACACTTTCCCATGTTTTATTCTATCGGCCACTTCCTCGCAGGATGGTGAGTGGCTTGAAGGGAAACTTGCCAATCATGGTGTTCCCATGTATTTGCAGTCCTTGTCCATCTAGACAGAAGTGATCATGGGTTTGGAAGGTGCTGCCTAAGGAGCTTTGCTGAATGTCTGCGTTGGATGTCATAGATGGTACACACTGCTGTGACTGAGCACTAGGAAGAGCTGGAAGAGCCAAAGTGTGTTTTAGACAGGATAAAACGTTGTGAATAAATAGATCAAACTAGTACAATCTCTGCATAGGTCTGAAACATAAGATATTCTATGTATTTGATTCTTAGGAGTGGTGTTTGAACTGCAACCTTTCGAATCTGAGGCAAGAGCTATGTCTGATATTATAGATTGAAATTTGTTCCTGAACAGTGGAATTTAACTTCAGAGGGCAATGTGATATTTCGATGCAATGAAGAACAGTATCCTTAGGGACAATTCTGCCCAGTACCTGTATCGAAAGTTGGAACCTTTGCTGCAAAGTATGGGCTTGGGTTTTGATCTGGGTTCTTCAGGGAGCCTAAAGAAAGCATGATATTCAACACAGGTCTTCCAGAACTGCTTGCACATATTACGACTTGCCATCAGGAATTCCAAAGAGTCCTTGCATGAGGCGGTCTGTCATTGTTGAACAGAGGACATGTTATTAGACAAGAAATCACTTGATGCACACTAATCTCAAGTGATGATGGAAGTAAAAGCAAACCTTACAAAAATGTTGGAGTGGAGCTTGATAAAGAAATGTTTCTTCTTAAAACTCAACTTGCGTATTTTGGCCCAGTTGAATGTATTGATCTTTGTCTTGCCCTGGAATGAGAGTTGGAAATATAAATCCATCCTGTCACAACAACAATTTGTATTTGTAAAGGACCTTTGTCATTGTAAAACATCCCTCAGCACTTCACTGGAGGTTAATGAGGTAATTAGATACAAATGACTGAACACTTTAGCAAAGAGGTAGATTTTGATCAGACTTACAGACATAGAGGTCATAGACTTGTACAGCACGCAAACAGACCCTTCGGTCCAACTTGTCCATGCTGACCAGGTATCCTAATCTCATCTAGTCCCATTTGTCAACATTTGGCCCATATCCCTCTAAACCCTTCCTATTCATATACCCATCCAAATGCCTTTTAAATGTTGTCATTGTACCCACCTCCAGTACTTCCTCTGGCAGCTCATACCATACACGCACCACCCACTGCATGAAAAAGCTACTCCTCAGATCCTTTTTAAATCTTTCCCCTCTCACCTTAAACCTATGGCCTCTAGTTTTGGACTCCCCCACCCTGAAAATAAAAACCTTGGCTATTCCCCCTATCCATGCCCCACATAATTTTATAAACCTCTACAAAGTCACCCCTCAGCCTCCAAATCTCCAGGGAAATTAGCCCCAGCCTTTCAGCCTCTACCTATAGCCCAAAGCTGGCAACATCCTTGTTAATCTTTTCTCCACCCTTTCAAGTTTAATAACATCTTTCCTCTCACAGGGAGACCAGAATTGAACACAGTATTCTAAAAGTAGCCTAACCAATGTCCTGTACAGCCGCAACATGACCTCCCAACTTCTTTATTCAATGCACTTACAATGAGAAGAGAGAGTTGTGAGGGAGAGAAGCTGCATGATATACAAATTGGGCATGGCAGTTGATCACTCAGCGCCTCAACTGTGCTCTGCCATTCAATACCGTCACGGTGATCTGATTACTCCTCATTTCCACCCACACCTTGTAACCTTTCACCCTTTTTCTTGTCAAAAATTTAGAGAGGGAACTTTAGTATTTACACCTGAAGGCAGAGCCACTGCGGTGTGAAGAAACGGGATGGGGGGTGTGGCGCTGGTGGCGGACAAGAGGCTGGAACTGAAAGGGGCAGTTCTCATTGGATTCTAGGTTTGGGATATACTGCAGGTTCACAGGAGCTGAATGTGTCAGCATGGGTTCCAGTGGTGTTTTGAGGATCTCGGTTCAATATTTATGGTTAGCCTTTGTTGGTTAACAGGAAAACAAATGACATTTTCTTTCCATGGGACTCTAGGATCTTTGTCAGTGTTTTAGAATCTAACCCTGTCTGATTCGTCTGGATTCCATGAAAATTGTTATTTCGCAACCTTTGCTACAAACAGCCTGAACAGAAAAGCTCCTCTATATAATGAAACACAAGAACATCCAGCATAACAATTAGGACGTTCTAGTCAGAGACTCAAGGCAATTCATGTCACACGTGAAGAACCTTTCTCTTCACAATGGTTTACAACATTCACTGGGTTTAACCTACCTGAAAGACCAATATGCCCATGTGCAAAACAGCCAGATTGATCTGTGTTCCCTCACCATCATTGGCTGGATGGAGCCTGACACCATACATCTCCAGTTTCCGTGCTGTGTCGAGAAGGCGAATGTCAGAAGTTGCTGAGGTCAGCCCTCTGTGCAAAGGTCAAATGTTCATTCATTAACAATGAGCAAAGCGCCTCACTAAGACTACAGAAATCCTGAAACGATGGGATTGCATGGAGCCTGTTACGAATTGAATATTAGACCCGAAATAGATTGGTTTGAAAGTTGTGAGCGTTCCACATTCGACCTCAATTGAAATATGTTTTGTGTGTATTGGTCCAGTGCACAGGACAAGGCAGTTTTGGTGAAGCAGAGAAGATTTTTGTCAGTTCATTCTCAGATATGACTGAGTTCATTCACTGATATGGCCAATCTTTATTGGCCATCCCTAGTCATCTTTGGGAAGGTGAAGTCAGGGCTTCCTGTGAAGTGGATATATAGGTTTTTCCAATTTTTAATTCAGTATGAGATGTCTCACTGACAAGGCCAGAATATTTGCTCATTCTGAATTACCCTTGAAAAGATGGTGGTGAACTATTTTCTAGAATCATCTGGTGTATGTACACCCCAGAGCTGTTAGGGAGAGAATTACAGAATTTTGACACTGTCACAGTGAAGGAACAGCAACATATTTCTAAGTCAGGATAGTGCGGGACTTGGAGGGAAATTGCAGATGGTGGAGCTCCCATGTGTCCCTTGTTCCTCTACTTGTTAAAGGTCATGAATTTGGAAGATATTGTTGAAGGAGGTTTGATGATTGTCAAAGTGCATGTTGTAGATGGTATATAGTGTTGCCAATGTGCATTAGTGGAGAAGAGAGTGAATGATGAAGGTGGTGAATGATAATGCCATTGAACGTCAAGGGGAGATTGTTAAATTCTGTGGTATGAATGATACTTGCCATTTATCAGCCCCAGCTTGAATACTGTCCAGGTCTTGCTGCATATGAACTTGGACTGCTTCTGCAGCTGAGGAATTGCAAATGTTGCTGAACACTGTGCAATCATTAAAAATCATCTCCACTTCTGACGTTATGATGGAGGTCATTAATGAAGCAACTAAAGATGGGTGGGCCTAGGACACTACCCTGATGAAGTCCTGGAGCTGAGTTGACTGACCTCCAACAAACAGAACCATTGTCCTTTGTACATGCCTGAAATGGTTGACACATTTTTCACTCTGAATTCTGCCTTTACTGGGAATCATCAATACCATGGCTGAGGAGGGTAATGGTTCCTGAGATATTAACATGTTTCGTTCATTCTACTGATACCACTCACAGTCTGTGAATGGAAACAAGATGTTCTCTTTCAGCTTTCAGAGGGAGCAGATATATCTGTACCACCTCCTTAAACTCCTGGTAATCATGCTTGACAAAATTCAAGTGTAATTATTTTGATCATAAGGTAATTTTTGATATCTAATAACAGTGTCATCTGTACACATTCTACAGGGGTGTAACCTCTACAACTAATCACTAGATAGGCCCAAGACAAAGGAGGATTGAAGACAGCAAACTATCTGAAACAGTCTTTATCCAAGTACTACAGACTGGTACCAAATACAAATACCATAAGGTACCAACAGTTTTCATCTTGGGAAACACTACATGGGTTGCAATGGTTCAAATCTGACGATGACCACGTGAAAAAAAGAAAATACCAGAGAAAAGAAGAATAAAATCAAGCAAGTTATTTACCACTTTAGGAGCATTACCACTTTAAGAAAATACAGACAAATAGACAGCAGTTAAAATTGATCACCAAAAGGGAAAGAGAGCTCTTGATGTAGAAGCAGCAAAAAATCAAGCACAGCTCTCCAAAGGCAAAACTTCATTTGGGAGTTGGTAAGAAGCACTGGAGCAAGTGTGTGGATGAGGAAAAGCCAGCAACACTTAGAAAATGCAGAGACCTTAGTGAAGGAGGCTCTTAAGGAATATGTGAAGACTTTAGATGATAAGTTAGAGATCCTCACAGTAAAGGGGAATAAATTTGTGAAAAACAGCACAAAGATACACAAAAAAGTGTCCTTTCAGATGGAGTAACAGGCAGAAGCATAGAAGAGCTATTAGTTACACTGCAAGATGATACATATAAAAGAGTTGAAAATGAATACAGTGTTCATGTTTAACCAACTCACTTTTGAGCCTGTACATATGTCACAGCTTCAACTTCCTTAATATAATTGAAGGAGTTTGACTACCCCCAGTGAACAACTGGTCCAGAAATAAATGGTTTTCAAGCAACTAGTCAACGGGCAAGCAGCAGAAGATTTAATTGGATTTTCTGGATTCCTGATACAATCCAAAAAGTGGAAAGAATCTGTTGGTATTACTACAGTGGCACATGAAAAATGTTTTATGACTCATAATTTATCAATTTATGACTCCATGTTTAGTTTAGGATCACGTTCAGCATGGACTAGTTGGACCAAAGGGTCTGTTTTCATGCTGTATGACTCTATGTTGAAGGATATCCAGGCCAAAATCCAGTGAATTGGTTGAGAATAAAATTCTTTGAGAACTTACAGCATTTTACTATCATGGATGATTTACTATTGAGTGACAAAAGATAAGCGATTTCAGTTTCCCTTCGGAAAGGTTGAAATTAAAACTGTTGTAAGCAATAGTGTCATAGAACAGTACAGCACAGTACAGACCCTTTGGCCTACTATGCTGTGCCAACCTATTATCCTACTCTAAGATCAAACTACCTTGCATACCCTACATTTTACTATCATCCATGTGCCTATCCAAGAGTCACTTAAATGTCCCTAATGTATCTGACTCCACTACCACCACCGGCAGCGCATTCCATGCACCCACCAATCTCTGTGTAAAGAACCTACCTCCGACATCTCCCCTACACCTTCCTTCAATAACCTCAAAATTATGCCCCATCCTCATAGTCATTTCTGCCCTGGGAAAAAGTCTCTGGCTATCCACTCTGTCTGTGCCTCAGATCATCTGAACACCTCTATCAAGTCACCTCTCATCCTTCTTTGCTCCAATGAGAAAAGCCCCAGCTCCCTCAATCTTTCCTCATAAGACCTGCCCTCCAGTCCAGGCAGCATCCTGGTAAATCTCCTCTGCACTCTCTCTAAAGCTTTCACATCCTGCCTGTAATGAGGTGACCAGAACTGAACACAATATTCCAAGTGTGGTCTAACCAGGGTTTTATAGAGCTGCAGTATAACCTCACAGCTCTTAAACTCAATTCCCCTGCTAATGAAAGCCATCACACCATATGCCTTCTTAACCATCCTATCAACTTAGGTGGCAATTTTGAGGGATCTATGGATGTGGACCCCAAGATCCCTCTGTTCCTCCATACTGCCAAGAATCCTGTCATTAACCCTGTATTCTGCATTTGAATCCAACCTTCCAGAATGAATCACTTCACACTTTTCTGGTTGAATTCCATCTGCCACTTCTTTGCCCAGTTCTGCATCCTGTTAATGTCCCATTGCAACCTACAACAGCCCTCCACACTATCCACAACTCCACCAACCTTCGTGTCTTCAGCAAACTTACTAACCCACCCTTCCACTTCTTCATCTCAGTCATTTATAAAGATCACAAAGAGCAGAGGTCCCAGAACAGATCCCTGCGGAACACCACTGAGCTCCAGGCTGAATACTTTCCATCTACTACCGCCCTCTGTCTTCTATTGGACAGCCAATTCTGTATCCAGACAGCCAAATTTCCCTGAATCCCATGCCTCCTTACTTTCTGAATGAGCCTATCATGGGGAACCTTATCAAATGCCTTGCTAAAATCCATATACACCACATACACTGCTCTACCTTCATCGATGTGTTTTGTCACATCCTCAAAGAATTCAATAAGGCTTGTGAGGCATGACCTGCCCCTCATAAAGCCATGCTGACTATTTCTAATCAAACTGTGCTTTTCCAAATAATCATAAATACTATCTCTCAGACTCCTTTCCAATAAATTGCCCACTACAGAAGTAAGACTGACTGGTCTGTAATTCCCAGGATTATCCCTATTCCCTTTCTTGAACAAGGGAATAACATTTGCCACCCTCCATTCATCTGGTTCTACTCCAGTGGACAGTGAGGATGCAAAGATCATCACCAAAGGTGCAGCAATCTCTTACCTTGCTTTCCGGTTACTCCTACTACAAACCAACTTACGTCTCTACAGCATGCAATAAACTGTCTCAAAACATTTCATAGGGGCTTCAGCCATCAAATTTAATGCCAAATAATTGACGTCTTAGGACTTATGGACCTGCTGTGATGAATGAGAATTGAATCTTTGTGGGCATGGTGTGATACCCCCTCTTAGTTAAACAGCCCACAAAACCATCAGGGCGCGCAATGAATCACGGATTCTTGGGCGATCTGCCAGAGTACAACATAGCTCTTGGCAAAACACAGCCTCCCACCCCAGCCCCAACCATAGGAAGCCAATGCTGTTGAAATTAAAGATCGATATATAAGTGAGTATAGTCCTCACTGCACAATGGTGACATACCCATTTATAGATAGAAACTATCTCCATTCTCATTGAGGTGGGTGACTATGACTCACTGGGTCCCTACTTGTCTCCAAGCAAGAAGTTTGTGGAAATAAGTCCCAACTGAACACTTAAGCACGAATTTTAGGCCAAGGCACCTGCACTGTCAGAGGCAACGTCTTTCAGAAAAGACATGAAATCAAGGGTCACCTACCCACTCAGACAGATGTAAAAGGTCCTTCAGCACAACTTCAAGAGTTCTCCCTAGCGTCAATGCCAATATTCATTCCTCAGGTAGCCCCACCAAAACAGATTATCGTCATCAAGCTTGCTGCGCATAAATGGTCCATTACGTTACAATTGTGACTGCACTTCAATGTCTGCAAAGCATTGTCTGATGTCAAGTGAGGCACTACATGAATGCACGTCTTTCCTCCTTTTCAAGCAGTTCTTGGTAAAAGGCCTGGAGGTGCAATGGGTGCAGATGAGGAGAAATCTGTTTTTCTGTCGCAAGTTGTTGTGGAATACACTGCCCCAAGGAGCTGGGGAGGCACTTTCAAGAGGAACTCTCAATAAAAAAGTGGATTTATACACAGAAACTTTAGCAAGGTGGCAAGAAAAGGAGACGGACCAACTTTACAGGCCTATCAGGGACACTTCGGCATTGCTTGGTGTGTAAACAGGGCTCAGTCAATGGTCAGGTGGCCAAAGATCTGAAAAGGGACTGAAGATCTCAGAATTAATTGTGGAAGCTGTAAGCACAAAGCCAATCTGAAAAACACTCCTGTACATAGGAGTCAGGTCGGGTATTCTGATCTGCAAACAGGTTAGAAGATAGAATGCAGTAAGGTTCATGAAAAGAAGCCAATGTTGAGAACACAAATGAGCAGTACAACCCACATGAGCTCATTGAAAAATCTTCAACAACATATCATTCAGGCAACAGAACACTTTGGGGGACAACTTGATACAGCAGAATTGTCAATTTCCACATCAAAGATATGGGAGATATTGTGTGAGCAATTCCCTTTCTGACAGTGACTGAGAGTGTGAGAAAATCAACTTCATCCTAACTATGAAAGATGACTGAAAACGTCCAGTATCATCAACAACTCAAAGGAGATGAGTTGCATATGACCCCATAGGACCCTAACTAATGCCTACATAAAAAGGAGTGGTCAAGAAGAAGAAATTATCTGGTCTAAACATCCCAAAAAAAAGCTTCATCCAATTGGAAAAATATTGACTGACCCAGAATTCTACGAGAATTTGTTTCAACATATCAATTATCTTTGATGATGCATGTTCATGAGATTAAAGGCCCCCCCAGATGATGTTATGAGGCAACTACCTGAATGACCAAGGAAGAGGTCATCTGGAAAGGAAATTCAGGAAATTAATGATCTTCTAGATATGGTAATGCACCAACAACAAGACGTACAAAGAATCATATCCTCCATAAAGTATCTCCAAGAGGTAAATGATCTTCTAATTGAGAAATGATCAACGGTCCTTAAAAATCATAGAACCATACAGTACATAAGAGACCTTTGGCCCATTGAGTCAGCACTGCCAAAACTGTGCTAAATCTCCACAAATGGAATGATAGTAAAATAGCAACAACTCTTCCAAATCAGGACAGAGTGCATTCTGAGAAACATGTAAACTGTCCAGAATCTTCATTTGTGAAGGCAAACGTTGGGGTTGGGGGAGTGGTGGGGGAGTTGAGATTGTGCTGAATGTAATATAGTTATATCCATAACAGTAAAATAGGTTACCTGTGGGGAGAGGTGGCAAAGAAAAGCTTGCAGATGATGTTGAATAAGCTAATAGTTCTCAGTGCATTAATATTAATGTTACATTGACTCCAGCCAATCTCCTGATATCACACTCACAGTACGTGGGTGAAAACAACGAGTTCTACTCTAGCTTTGGACGGAGCAGATATATCTGTATCAGTTGCTTAAAGTTCCCATAATTATCAAATGTGATTGTACTTGTTGCTATTGTACAAATAAACCTTCTTGTTATCTGCCTCTTCCACCACCACTGATCATTACATGGAACTAAAACAACACAAATCAAAGGAGGATTGTGTGCAGGTACAATCTGAATCCAATGTCACCATCTGGTCAAGGTGGAAAATGCCACCAGGTTCCTGCAATGGTCATCTTCGAACATACCACAGACTTGTCCAAGATTGCACTGAGCAATTGCATGCTTTTGGTCAAGCCTGTTCATCTTTTTTTTTCATTCTGTCTCACTTGCTGTATCTTGTAGAAGAGCTTATAAAACTGATCCTTCCCAATGAAAAAGACATGAATTGATATTTACACACGTTCTAACCTAATATAAGTAATAGAGGAAAATCAGAATCAGAAGTAAAATAAAGCCTTGCAGCCACTCAAACTTACTCTGCCATTCAATAAGATTGTGCATCTCCTTCAACAATTCCATCTCCCCAACATATCCTTTAATTCCCTTGATGCCAAAAGTCTATCAATTTAAGGCTTGAACAAATTTGACCGTTTATAGCTCCCTGGGGTAGAGATTTTGAAAGATATTAAGTGAAAAAAGTTTCCTTCAAGTCAGTCCTAAATGGATGTAAGTAAATAAATAAAATAATTTGCTTCCAATTGTTTAGTAACCTTCTCATGATCAGTGACTTTGCCAGGCATCGTTCACACAACATCAAATATATCAACTGTCCTAGAATCATCTTGGGTGAATTATTTTTGAAGATTTATGGAGACAAATACAGCATCCAGTTTAGACACAGCAATACATGTGAACAGTCTGATAAATGAAGTGTTAATCTATTTTTCTAGTCGTGTTAATTGAGGAGTGATTATTGGCCAGAACTCTGAAATTCTGCACTTTGTAAAATATGCTCATGTGTTCTTAGATATCCACAGGGAGACAGCAGGTTTGAAATCTTATCCGAGATAGTAGGAATTGCAGATGCTGAAGAATCTGAGATAACAAGGTGTAGAGATGGATGAACACAGCAGGCCAAGCAGCATCAGAGGAGCAGGAAGTCTGACGTTTCGGGCCTAGACCCT